AGCAGAATGAAATCCAGAACTGGTGTCAAAACGGTCCCATCTGATTACCATTTGCTGGTTATCATAAGCAGTAAAATGCTTTGCCTTCACGTCTTGCTACCTATAGGCATCCTGTTGGTCACTATGAGAATAGGCTGTGACAATATATAGGCCTTTAAGTGTGATCCTGCAGGGCTGTTCTTATATTCTTATTCCCAGCAATCTTTCCAGTATCTCCTTTGAAATAACCCAGCAATCCCTGTCCTAAGGGGGTTTTTGTGTGTGTATCCCACATCCTTCCACAACAACCCATGAAAGAAATTGAACTTTTTCAGAGGCCAGCTTTAACTTGTAATTTATACAGCAGTACAAGATTAATAAATCTATTACCAATGTCGTTTTACGCTTTATAAGAATTTCACAACCAGGGGAGAAATATCCAGATCACAACATTTTGTCACTAGTAGGAGATGTGGAGATGAGTGAGCATGATGGGATACAAATCTATTCCAAGTCAAGATTTATATGGGGAGAAATTACTTTGTTAGCCAACTATGACTTGTTTTATTAGCATCATTTACTTCTAAGTAGACTGAGAAATGGAAAAAGAATGGTTTTTCAGTTTTAACATTTCCTTCCCCACTTAGTATCCATCATGGATGGGAATGATCAGTCACACTCGCACAACAACACACCATCCCTTCAAAAGCCAGGGCAAGTTTCTGAAATATGTCTCTTTCTTAGTGAAGGTTGTGCTTCTAAACACGCTTGGCATTGTTTCTTAATATAACATTGGCATATGGCATTTATGCGCTTAGTCGTGTTGTTTTGTTTGTGTGTGTTTTCTAGCTTATCTCCAGTCTTTTCTGCAGGCAATTACTGTCAAATGCATTTAATTTCTTCTGTTATGTATTATCGGGTTGCTAACATGCTTGTATTTACATTACATGGAGCCTTTGTCCTTAGACTGGAGAAGTATTATGAAGTTGTGCACTGCACAGGCACATGCCTTTCTCATTCTAATAGGCTTACATTTCTCAAATTAACTGGGTCAACCATTATGGAAGGATCCCAAAACCGAGCTGGTGTTCTTTCCGCCCAAGTCTATATAGCTGCTTTGTTGCTTTTGTCCATCCTTCTGAATGTTTTGCCTGTGGTTCATTCTACCACAGCACAATCTTATGCATGTCCACCCAGAAGTACATCGCTTTGAGTTCAACTGTAACTCCCAGGCAAAGTGGGTGAGGGGAGGAAGCTAAGAGTAGTAGAAAGCATCCATGAAGCAAGAATTCTCTTAATCCTCATCCCAGCTGTAACCAAGTCTAAGTACGTATAACTGCATCTGCTCACAATTATCCTTTGCTACCCTTGTCTCTCCCTCCCGTTGTCTTCCCTGCTCTCCACATTTGCATTTGAAGATCCTTGGGGGCAGGGTCCTGTCTTTATGGCTTATGAAAGCCTGTACATGGTGTTTTTACATAGATTACACTCTAAAAATAAAGTACAGCAATATTTCATAAGATTGCCCTGTTTTCAAATGAAAATGTTTACTCAAACCAAGTACCAAACACGTACCCAAAAGTAGTATAGCATAAGACATATGTGGCCATAATCGTCTGCCTAAGAGACAATGCTAAAATCAAACAGTTGGCCATTTTGCACTTAAAAATTTGCACCCAAAAAATGTGGCTGCAGTTGTCACCATTAACATTATCAGGGCCATCTTTAGCATATGCACCGCCAGGGTGCAAAGATCCGCCCAGCGCCCCCAAATTAACTTTTATTGAGGAGGGGGGAAGCCAAAGAAAAACTGCTTTGGTTTCCTGACTTGTCAGGAATATTTAACGCTATGGAGTAACAGAGCAACGGGGGGGGGAGGGCACTTTAGCTAATGGGGCCTCCCGCTGCCACCGCGTGATTTCTGTTCTCATCCTGAGGTAAAGTTCTTAACCCAAGGTATTACTTCCAGGCTAGCAGAGTCTGTAACCTGAAGCGTTTGTAACCCAAGGTACCACTGTACTGTTAATTTTAATTACCTTTTAAATGTTTTTAATTACTTGTTTTTAAACTGTTTTTCTTGATGAATTTAAATATTTCTCGTAAAGCACTTAGAGATTTACTACAATCAAGCAATGTATACATTTGGTTAAAGAAAATAAGGTGGGTCCTATAATAAATATCTTAGATGTCAAATACCAGGTGTGTTTTTCTTGGGTTTGGGAATGGCAGTTTTGGAGAAAAAAGCTGGTAGTGAATTGGTTAAGTGCACCAAGCCTTCCTGCCCTTTCCTGTTGCAAAACTGCCCCAAACCTTGAAAAGGTTCTGCAGTGCAGAGCTACAAACGACTGCCAGGGCTTCTTTTCAAAAGTCTCTAGTGCCACATGGAGTTATTCTCTGACTGTGAACACTCAAAGGAACTGAGATTAAATATCTGCAAAACAGGTACTTGCTCTCTCCCTCTGTCAGCTCTCAAGGAAAACATCTGGAGTGCAGAGAAATCAAGGGATTAGTTAGCCCAATTAGTATAATGATGTTCAGGCTTAGTTTCTTTTGTTACGGCAACAGTGTCAGCCTGTTTTAAGCTTTTCTGCATTGTCTCAGAAGTTAAGTCACAACGAATTTAAAAATAGGAAGTATTACACTCCCTTACTTCCTCCCCTCCCAGCATTTACAACTTTATTTATTTTTTAAAAAAAATATTACCCAGCAAAATAGAAATATCTTAGTAAAAAAGATATATACTTAGCTTGGAAGCGGGGTGGAACATGAGATTCAAAAAGCATGTTGTGTGCCCCATAGAAATGAACTGAGCAACATCCTCAGAACCAGTTTGTTTTGGAGCAGATCTAGGTCAGCCTGTAAAACTTCTTTCTCCCAACGTTTTTTGAGACCCAGGCAATCCATAGATGATCATTTTAGGCAGCCCCTTGGTAGAGAAATCGTACTAAAGTAGTCCTGAAAATTGAAACGGCCTGACTGTTTATTAGGCTGCATGTTAAAGTACAGGTGATGCTGATGAGGTCTTCTGGTAGGGTCATGTTTCTCTGAATTTGAGCCAATTTATACACTGGCTCTCGAAGGAATAATTTAGCCCAACTCTTGAAGTGTGGAATCAGCCGTGTGGCTGTTTGCTTTGGCTGAAAGGGGCATTCCAGAAAACTGGATTATTTTTTTTACTTTTGCCCAAGGTGATGACGAATGCAGAGACAAAGCTCTGCCAATGGAATTGCAGCAAGGCTGGGTTTGGGGGACATGGTGGGGTTTGGTTGTTTTTAATCCCATTTGAAACCATCATTCCCTTTTCAAAGTAATCAATGCAAAAGTTTGCATAGGATGCAAGGCCTCTAAAGTTGAACCACACCATCAGTTTTGTGCTGATGAGACATCAGATGAATTTCGTGTTATATATCCAAAGGGTGAACATCTGTCTTACCAGAAACTTGCTCAGCCTCAGCCAAAAGCTCTCATAGGCAGGGACACATGTCATCATTTGAGGCTACTGAACTGAAGCTCTGCAGGAGAAGAGACATGCCACCAGGGAATACTAAAACACAGCAGAGATTTGTTTTACATAGAAAGGACACAGAAGGGGAATGCACCCTTTTAGCATTATTTCTGACTTCTTCTTCAGTGCCTTCCTCTGTCCTTCATGTGCTACAATTCTATTAAATTATATTAATTTTAAAGGTTCTCAGAGTAGCTTGCAATGGTCAATAATAAGACACTTAAGACGATTTTTTACAATCTAAGGAACACAACAAAAAGGAAAGGGGTTGAGATGTAGGAGGGGAAATCTCAGGCATTACTTCTTAGAGTTACAAAGTTATTGTAAGTGTTCTATCTAGTAGAGGCTATAAAACGCTCCCTGAAGCTGATTCCTTCCTGGCTGATAGATGGGACCAGGTTGGTTTTGTTGTTCTTTCTGAGAATCCTAAAATCCTAATATAATAAATTAGGGCTTTTTATATATATATATATATTAAAACCCAATTTATAGCCCTTAATTGAAGATGCATTTAAAATAGGGCTGTGATCTTCAAGTGATTAATGGGTTGATTAATCCCTTTGGAAACAAGGGATTGGATAGAATATATGTACAGTGGTACCTTGGGATGCAAACCGGATCCCTTCCGGAGCCCCGTTCGCATCCTGAACGGAACTCAAGATGTGATGGCGCAACGGCCCGTGCGCGGGTCACATTTCACCGCTTCCGTGCATACGCGTGATGTCATTTTGAGCATCTGCGCGAGCAGCAAAACCCGGAAGTAACGCGCTCCATTACTTCCGGGTTGCCACAGAGCGCAACTCAAATGTGCTCAACCCGAAGCACATTCAACTTGAGGTATGACTTTACAAACTTGCAACACATGAACAAGTCACGTAGAATAGTAGACTCACCATGAACAAATTTAATGATATTTGAAATTCATTTTTATAAACACTGTATTAGGTTAGGTTTAAGATAACTACAATAATAATCATGTAATGTTTATAGTTTTTGTTTGTTTTTTATACGGGTGTTATTTTATTGTCTTATTTTACCTTGTGCACTTACAATTTATACAGTGGTGCCCCACAAGACGAATGCCTCGCAAGACGAAAAAACCGCAAGACGAAGAGACTCGCGGAATGGATTCTTTTCGTCTTGCGAGGCACCACTGTACTTCTTATTTTTCAATAAAGAATGTTTTAAAAGTTGCATTATGTATTCGGGTTGCAGAATTCGGATACTTTTGACCACAGAAATCTGGTATTTAGCAGAGGCTAGCCTTCCTGCCTATGTGTTGTTCGCTGCGAGTAGAAGTGGCTGTTTTAGAAGTTCTTTTAGGAAAGAAATTGCTGGACAAACAAATTGAACTGGAATACAAAAGAGGGAGGTACGAGGAGGTCCAGAAAATAAGTAAATTCAAAAGTGGTGATGAAAAGGTGGTATTGTTTTGAACTGTTTTTGCTTTTGTTTTTTTGTTTTTTTGTATTTTGTATTGTGTATTTTTGTATTGTGTATTTTTCTTTTTACTTTTAATTCTCTTTTACAGATGTGTTCTGTTTTAATTGGAAACTTTAATAAATATCATTTAAAAAAAAATAGAAGTTCTTTTAAAATATTTTTATTATACTTTTTATTTCATCCTTTTGCTGCTCTGCCACCCTGAACTTCTTTGCAAGTAAGGACAGGAAAGAAATGTCAATAACAATTAATCACCTGCCACTTGTGCCTAAAACATTCCCAAGCATGCCTACCCTCCCTCAGTTTTGCCTTCTTCACTTCCCTCTTAATGCAAGGAGTAGATAGACCAAGACCATCATTGTTGTTTTACCTAGAATTTTTATGGTTCCTTGCGAAGATCATTGTATTAATGCAATATAGATGGGAAACACTTTGAATGCATGCACACACACAAAACATCACAGATGTGACACATATACAGGGGAAATGTGCATTTGCAAATGCAATTTGCAAAACACATCACATGGAAATTCACTAATGCACCAGGCCACTGATTCATGATCGTCAAAAGATGAAAAGGGTTAACCACTTGCCTGTGTGCCACAAGTTCAGCTTTGCTGAATAGATTTATCAATAGAGTTAGCACTCTAAATTATGTAATGTGTTTTGCCTAATAAGGTTGCTCTTGCTGTAATTGCTGTTCTAGGATTAGGTGGTTAATCTTTTAAGTGAAGCCGTTGAACTCACCTTCTGAGAGATGATCTAGAGCTCACCAATAAATCATTCATGGTTTCATGCCCCCCATCCTGCACTTAAATCTATGCCAGCGGTTTCCAAAAGCAAAGAATTCAGCCCCATGTTCCACTATGATCAATTAGACCTCATGCTTAGCAATCAGAGACTTCCGCTCAGTTGGAGAAATGTAGCCTCTTTTTTCGATTTCGTGGGAGGTAGAATGGCAGATGGAATTTGCTTCTTTTATTCAAAGACTGTTTACAAGAATCATTTGGTTGAAGGATCATTCCTCCTGGGTTTTTTGTTCTTCTTCGAGGGAGGGAGACATCACCACGGGCTGCATCTCCTTAGAAAATTCATGCCAGGAAAGCTGGCATGCCCAAGGTTTCAAAATACTTAGCTTAGTGTCATCTTACTTACTCCAAAAACAGTATCACTATCTCTGTTGTCCACATCGGCCCCATATAAGTGTCAAGATTCATTCTAACCTGTGGGTAGGGATGCACAGAATGGTACAGAATAGCAATGACAGTTTTGCTTAGAAAGGAGGAGAAGGCTCTAAAGCAGAGGTGTGGTATCTGTGGTGCTCCTGATGTTGTTGGACTGAAAAGTAGTCATGCTGGCTTGGGATGATGGGAGTTGGTTCAACAACATCTGGAGGAACAGCATTTAGCTAACTGAAGCAGGGATTTATTATAATTATCATCATCATAAATATTTCATTTGGAGAAGAGGGTAGAAAAATGTGGATAAACACAATCGTGTTTTGTAGTCCTTCTAAAAGGATGTTCTCCAGTCTTTTTAGTGATGTTCCTCTGTGGTCTGGCTTGAGCCCATAAAACTGCATAAAAATGAAGGCATAGACATGGTAGCACACATGTTTTGCCTTCAGAAGGCCCTTGGTTCAGTCCTTTTTGGAGGCAGGGCAAGGGGAACAAACTCATCAGAAATCATCAAAGCCATTGTACTCAGCATAGCCGTAGAATATACTAGGTTGATGTACCAGTGGTAGCCTCCTAAGTGTAGTTCTGCTCACACAATGAACTTTTCTTGCCTCCTCCTTCCTGTTGCAGTCCCTACATTGCTCCCACTTACCTCCAAAGCTTCCCCCAATAGGCATGGAAATGGTATTGGATGAGGCAGAAGGGACTCCTTGATAGAAAACTGTCCGATATGAGGAAACCACCCACATAAGTGGAAGTGTTACTCCTCACACCATTCAATCCAAGTCCTTAACATAGAATATTCTTTTGAAAGTTGTCTTTCAACAGGAGGCGGCTCCCAATGCCAAATCACAAACTATATTTGAAGGATCATTCATCGTTTCAAAACTGATGTCCTATGTGGCCTGAGAAGCTGCTGCTCGAGGAACACAAGTCCAAAATCCCTTTAGGCCTAGGTGTGTAGTAAAGGAGAGGAATGCAGGAAATTAAGTAATATCGCAGATCAAATATTTCATTTTCATGCAAGGCTCATCAAGACAAATATTGTTAAATATTTACTTACCACCCACCTGCATATTAATAATTTTCTCACCCAATACAGCTCATAATATAGAGTGTAGGAAGGAATGTATTGTGCTGCATTTGACTAGAAACATTCCATGAGTAAAGCTCATGAGGGAACAAAAATATTGTTACTCATCTTTATCAGGAGCAGCTGAATATCCCTAGTCAGTTGACTTCCTGAAAGAGTTGCTCTTCCGTTAATTTCTCTTTCTCTCTCTCTCTCTCTAGCTCTATCTCATTCAGGGTTAAACATTTTATATAACATCAGTATATCTGCACTATCCATTAAATACCATATCATACCACTTTTAACCATCATGGCTTTGCCTCAAATAACCCTGGAAGTGGTAGGGTACTGAGAGTTGTTAGGAGACCCCTGTTCTCCTCAAAGAACTACAATTTCCAGTTTCCTGGGAAGACGCTCTGTGAGGGGAATAGGAGTTGGCTAACACTCTCTGCATCCTTGACAAACTACAGTTCCCAAGATGTTTTTGTGGAAGCCATGACTGCTTCAAGTGGTGTGATACCGCTTTAAATGTAAATTAATGAGGTTAATAAGTCACAAAATAAAGTTTTCCATTGGCACAAGGGAATTAGCTGCAGCATGGGTGGGGAACTTGCCCACCATCTGCTCCCTGAACATTTAACTAGTGAGGTCAAGGACAGGACCTTGTGTATGCAAAGCATGTAATCCACCCCTGAGCAATGCTTCTTCCATCCAAAACTGGGTGAGTTTGTATGGAACACATTGTTCTTCAATGCTTCATGGCTATTGATAGGCCTTAAACACTTTTTATCGATAGGCCTTAAACACAAGCTTACTATACTGTTAGCCCAGTGTTAAAAACGTGCACCAGCATTGGGTAATCAATTGCAGATATGTCCATATTTTCAGAGACTGCAGGCTGTTGACATGTTCAAGAAATTGTATGCACACACACCATTGCCAATGTCAGGAAACAGCTTATTTATCCCTAAGGAACTTATATGGTCATTGTCACCACATGTATCATTTCCATAAAGGAAAAGAAGTGCATAGCAAACACAAGTGGTGAATATTTTGCCAGGCTTCAGACATTACAGATTGCACAGACTGTTTGCACTTATTCCCTTTTATAATATGTATTCTTGCGTTGAGTACGTATTTTCTCCTAAAACTAGTGTAGGAAGACCACTATGTGTGATGCTAGGGGGTTGTATAGCAAACATAAGAAAGAATGTCTAACTGCAAGCACAATAAACCCTTCTCTCCCCCCACCCCTGTGCTAGGAATGGTTGTAACTCAATCTAGCCAAGGAGAGCAAATCTGCTAGTGAGTTATGTCTGCTCTTCCCAAAGGAATGAAAATAAGAAGTATATTACATTGCCGACTATTACACATTATATTTAATGATAGCATGATCCAAGAGGGATTTCTGTATTACAAACAGAGACCTAATGTTTTTGCTAATACTGATGTAGAAACAATATAATTTATTGCTTTTTAGAATGTCCCATGCTAAAATTATGCATACAAGGGAGAAATTAATGTATATGATTCTGAAAAACAGACACAGCAAAAATGTGTAGAAGTAATTTCAAAGGGGCCGTCCCCAGTTTATTTTGTATCTAAGGCATCTTCCTGGTCAATGAACCTCTGTGAAAGATTAATGTAGTTTGAACTTTTATTGAGGAATATCATTTGTGCACTGTCACATTTAGCACAAATGGTGCTTCAGTCACAGTTCAGTAATATTCCAGCATATTATTTCCAAGGCATTTGAGAGTTTAGAGAATTATTGAAGGGCATGCTGTACTCATTTGGTAATAAGGCAGAGTACAGTTGCAGTCTCCATATGATTTCAACAAATGGAATCTCTGTTAATTCCGTTGCACATAGAAGATGGTTATGTGATAATCACCCAAGTGAAATAAACCCTGTTGGAGAATATGAATGGAATCGGGCACTCCACAAGGTCTTTGGCAAAAGCTTTTTTTAAAAGGAAGAAACTGAACCTAGAGTTGTCAAAGGCTATTTGTAACAAAATATATCCCCCCCCCCCAAGGGCCAAGACTAGCTCAGGGTATTTTCCCCCTTGCCAGTCTGAGGTAAAATATACCTCCCCCAGGTTATAAATACAGTGGACAGCAAAACACTGGTTTACATCTGAGGTGGTGACTAGACTCAAGAGCAATCAATGTATCCATGGCAGAAGACACAATTCATAGAAAGGCTGTGCTCAAGAATAGGCCCCCTCCCCCCATGCATGCAGTAAATGCTGAGGGAGGGAGAGTGGGACTGTGTCCACCAGCCCTTCCCCTGACACAGATAACCAGATACAATCACTGACACAACCTGACTCATGTAACCATTTTAAACACAAGTGGGGTGGGAGAGTATTGGCTATGTGGAAGTCTACTCCCCTGGCCAGGACCAGTCCTACTATTAGACAAAGAGAGGCAGCCACCTCAGGCAGCAGATGCTGAGCAACAGAAACAGAGCTGTGCATGACACACATGATCTGCCCTGTACCCTCTAAGCTAGAATTCTGCCCTCAAGTGCAGTGGTGGATGAGTGCCCCATTGCCAGTGTCAAAATAAGATTCAGTTGCCAGTGTGGTCAGCTTTGGACATGGAATGAGGCAGGTGGACTGTGTTGTCTTGTCATTTGCTTCAAGCAACACAATGCCTTTGGCTGGCCCTTCCCATAGCATCCCACCAATTTCTGTTCTCCCTTTGCTTTACTTTTATAATGCTTTGTTTTAATCCTGTCCACTCTTTGGAGCATTTCTCTTCATTTAATTGGGTGGCGCTGTGGTCTAAACCAGAGCCTAGGGCTTGCCGATTGGAAGGTCAGCGGTTCTAAACCCTGCGACAGGGTGAGCTCCCATTACTCAGTCCCTGCTCCTGCCCACCTAGCAGTTCGAAAGTACGTCCAAGTGCAAGTAGATAAATAGGTAGTACTCCGGCGGGAAGGTAAACAGCGTTTCCGTGCACTGCTCTGGTTCACCAGAAGTGGCTTAGTCATGCTGGCCACATGACCCAGAAAAAACTGTCTGCGGACATATGCCGGCTCCCTCGGCCAATAAAGCAAGATGAGCACCACAACTCCAGAGTCGTTCGCGACTGGACTTAACTATCAGGGGTCCTTTACCTTTTAAGGTAGTGCTTAGGTTCTTCCCCTGCCCACTGTTCATTACGTAGAATAGGATATCCTGCTGCTATGCACTTGATCAGGAAAATGTCGGTTGTTGTTTTTTCCTCTTTTTTTTAGTAAAAAAACTTTGTTTTTTTGAGGCGGGGGGAGGTTATCAGCTTTTTATCATCTGGAAAGACTCTAATATAACCATTTAGCAGGTGTGTGTATGACTTTAATTTTCTCTCTAAGTAAATGGTACAGGCAATTTGAAACAGTTTTTTCAGCTTCATCCAAGACCCAGATGGAAAACTGTGAAAGCTTAATTTCTGAGGGCATTCAGGCTGACAGCTCCTCAAGCAGGAGGCTTAATCCAACTTGTGTGAAGATAGTAAAAGGCTCTGCACAAATGCTAAGAATCCCAAACTGCTTCCATCTATCCATGAGGCTAACTTCAACCTCTAAAAATAAATAACATGACAGCCATTTAACAAGAGACAGGACAGGATGCTGTTGTCTCTTCAAAACTACAAGGGAAGCTTCAAGGCGTACTAGGATGCAGCCACCCGGACTGGATTGTTAAACTGGACGTAAACACAAATTACAGCTTTTCTTGGAAAAAGTATAATGGGGATAGCAATGATGTGAAGATCCGCAGGTGCCTGGAGGGCAGTTGCTCAGCTTTGCACCACCCATTGGGTGATTGGAGATAGGAGGACATCAAGGGGAGGATGGCGGCATGGTAGTGATAATCACAAGGGATGGGTGAATATGTCAATCTCGGTTTCTCATTTTTCCAATCTTAAATTCCATTCTCCACATTTCCACATCAGTTTACATTTAAAAAAACACACCAAAAAACCCAATTCATTGTGAAAATTCCATGGCAGTCTGTGGTTCCCCAATTTTTGCTGGGCTAGAAACTCCTATCGCCCCTGACAAGGTGTCTTGCCAAATGCAAGGTGGTTCATTTAAAATGAGAATCAGAGGCAATACAAACACAAGTGAGTGAGAAGATTAAGTATTTTATTCTAAACAGCAAGCATTATATACATTACCAAACAAGCACTTCGTTCTGCCACTTGGAAGCCCTCAAGAATTGGTGAAGCGACTCCCACAAGTAGCCTCAGTTTGCAGGGCCCTGTGATTGATCAGTCTGTGCATGAGCTTCTAAAAACTGTACCTGATTTATAGATAGCTAACCTGTTAGCCTGCATGGCTTGCCTGACAGCCTACATGCTACTAGCTACATGCAGATTATTCATTAACCACATCTCCCAATGCCTTACTTTCTTCAAACAACATCTAACATCAAAGAAGTTGAAGGTATTCAGCACTATCACTTTCTTCCAACAGATTAGGACTAGGAAATTAAAGGCTGTTCTTCAGCCATCAAAGAGCTTAGAGAGGAAGAAAAGGAAGGAACAGGGGCAGGAAGAGGGCAACCAAGTTAGATCACGAAACTCCTCTAAACACAAATATATTTGGGATAGATTGCCCATACACAAAGCTATCTTGGACTGATGGGAGCTAGATTCGAACATCTGGAGGGCCACCCATTTCCTCGTGCCCTGCATTATAAGGAACAGAGCAAGACAGTAGCAGATCTTCAGAATATTTTTGTTTTAATCATTCATTCCTACTCCTCCACATGCAAGACATAAGCCACAACCATCTACATAAAATGCAGTGTTGTGCCTGGCCTCTCTGATTCATATTCTGCTATACATAAGCGTCTGCTGTTATACATCTGTTGTGGTGCAAGCGATTTTCTGCACTTTTATGATCTGACTCAGTATTTGTACTTCTGTCTCATAACTGTGCTGAAAACATCCCTAGCTGCACCGCTCTGTAATTGGTATCAAAATATTTGGTAGCAGAATCAACAACACCCACAACTTTCCACTTTGCCTTATGCCAGTTTGGAACATTAGGGCTTCCTTGTACGTTTTCGGCAGGGTGTGGGAGTGCCGCTGGATTGATTTATTTTGGAGAACCATCAGCATTGCTTTGTCCCTGTGCAGTTTTGTGAAACTTATATATGTTTGCAGCTATCCTAGGATCGAGTTTTGTAGCTCTGTCATGGACCACTGATCCCCAGAAAAGGTAGTGGCTATAGACTGAGCCCAACAAGAAGTCCAGCATTAAATCTATCAGTGACAAATAAAGACACATGATGAGGCTCTCATTATAAGGGATTATAAGGGATGAAATGTATGTGTGTGTGCCTGAATAGTTCAGTTGGTTAAAGCATGGTGCTGATAACAGCAAGGTCGCAGGTTCAATCCATGTATGGGACAGCTGCATATTCCTGCATTGCAGGGAATTTGACTAAATCATCCTCAGGGATCTGTAATTCTAAGATATTATTATTATTAACCATTATAATATATTTATACCCCACCTTTTCCCCTGATGGGACTCAAGATTTAGCTTCACCTAGAGAATACAACTACATTACTCAGAGGAGGGATGGGGAAGCTGTGGTCTTTAAGAAGTTGTTGAACTCCAACTCTAATCAGTCCCAACCACTGGCCAAGTTAGGTTGGAACTGATGGGAGTTGGAGACCAACATCAGGAGAGCCACAGCTTCCCTGTCCCTTTTTAAACACTGATCTGTATTATGCGGTCGTTGCATCTGCTCTGTCCTCTCCAAGTAGTCCCAACAGTTCCACAGAACACTTAGGTAATGAAGCAAGAAGCCTAAATTATCTCACCTTGAGAGGAGGACCAGAACACCAAATACAGTGTTTAGTTTCCTCACCAGAGATGGTGACTACCCGTTTAAAATGCTCCGTCACCAAGGGAGACATCTTCCAGGCTTTCCTACCTGCTAGTCTATAGCAGTGTTCCCCAACCTTGGGCCTCCAGCTGTTTTTGGACTACAACTCCCATCATCCCTCGCTAGCAAGACCAGTGGTCAAGGATGATGGGAATTGTAGTCCAAAAACAGCTGGAGGCCCAAGGTTGGGGAACACTGGACTCTATAGGACTCTCATCTCACTCCCCAAAACACACACAAATATATCTAGCAGCTGAGGGAGGAAGAGAGGGGAATGCAAGTGTCTATAGTGCCTCCCTCAATACACCCGAGTATTTAAATATGTAGGCAGTTTCAGGGGAGGTTTACCACACAGAAATATGGGCACACCTTCTTAATTTGAAAAAAAGTGCTGCTGCAAAGCCTCAGAAGAAAATTATGAGGACCACCTAATGTGGGACCTACTGTGGTTTTCTGTGGGTCCCAGTGTATGAAAGCCTTCACATAATACAGCTGCATATGAGAATGCTCTCTTCCCACAGACATTTGTGCTGCATGTGCAGATGTCGTTGGCAGGGCTAGCTAGGGTGCAAGTTGGGGCACAGTTAGCCAGCACAGCCCTGCTTTCTTCCAATGCAATGAGATGAACTTCCAAACAAGGCTGACATTGCCACCTTATCAGTTGCTTCTGCAAACCAGGCCTCTTACCGATGCGTTTTTTACTGTCTTATACAAGCATTGATTTCTACAGGAGGTGAAACAGTCAACTCTTGAAACCCCTTTACAATCCCTTCTACACAACCTGTCTGGTCTATCACTTGAGTACTTCATGTACCATTCAACTCTGCTTTTTGGGGAACTGCCAGCGCTCATTAAAACATCTTACCAAGTACCAACTCAGAGTCTGGGGAAGGAAATAAGATTTTTGGCTACCTCTCCATTCAGGAGTCCATTTTCCTAGTGTGCCAGAAAAAAAGCTGTTTGGTTTTTTCTCCTCTCAGTTTTTGATCACTAAGCACCCAACCGGTATAAAATTCTAACCTTTGCAAAATCCTAAGCACAGATCTTGGAAGCCTTGAAAATATAAAGGAAATGGGGAATGAGACCCTAGGTTTATTAGATTCTTTCTAATTATACATACAATTATATCTCAAATGTGTATATGGTACCAATTCCCTTTCCAGATTTTTTTTCCATAAAATGGTCGCATTCTACACCACTGGCCTATAAATAACCTCAGCATTGTACCCAAGCAAGGATAGCATGGTCAGAATATACTTTGATGTGAGAAAACGGCCCCAAATACCTGCACACAATTACCTGCTGTAAACAGAAAATAAAAGATCTTGGAAGTCAGTTGACTGATTCACTTTGATGGGGGTAAAAGAGGCTACCTCATCCCAAAGCAGGGTCCAAAAGTGATTAGACCATTCAGTTAATCACTGAGCAAAATCTGGACATACATCATCTGCAGTTCAAGTTCAATAGCCCATCCCCAACACTCCACAGGCTCTCTAACATCTAAGGATGCAATCCTAACCCAACTTACCTGGGAGTAAACCCCAATGAGTCCAATAAGATTTAACTTCTAAGAAGACATGGTTAGGACTGTGCTGTAAGATTGGTACGGAACATAAGAGGATGCTTTAGTAGCAAAAGCAGCTAGAATATATAGACACACACAAGGCAATATCTACCTACCAGGTTGCTCTTGCACAACTTTGGTTCATTAAAAAAAATACATTTGTTTGTTTAAAGGAAAATTGTGCAGGAAAAAATATGATAAGATTGCACCCATGATAGCCTTTTTTCATGTAGACTTACTGTTGTATGATTTACAAAATGATATAGACAGCCCAATACCAAAACTTTTGAATATTCAAATATTTTGCAGGTTACTTGGATAGGTGGATTGGCATTATGTTTTGAAATTATATATCTTGTCATTCCAATGTGCAGTTTTTCCAACTCTTCCCATCTTAGCCATATACATTATTCATGTCAAAAAAAAAAGAACATATGAAAACCACACATTTCCTGTGTTGGCTCTCCACCTCAGCATTAAAAAAATTAAAATTCTATGAGAACTCTAAAAAAACCCCTGAGGAATCTACTACCAGATACTGAGAGAGGGACGGAGAGAAAGAGAGAGACAGAAGTAGTCCATCAGTTCATAGGTCTATCCTGCTGCTAATCTACATATTGCAAAATGCCAGGATAAATCATCATGCATCCAAAAATCAAAACTAAGTGCAATTCAAAAGCTTGCAGTCCAGTCTTTCTCAGATACTGAGTTTCTACAATAATATTTCTATGCTGCCATCTAGTGCAGCATTGGCAGAACATGTATGAAATTTCAAGATGAATTTAAAAGAAAAAGAGTGAACCCCAATATGGAGACTTTTTATATTAAAATATGATGCCTCCCAGAAAGCAGCTTTGGAAGGAAAACTTCAATTTGTGGGATGACATACAAGAATAGAAGATGAGAGTGCAGACCGTTGCAGTAATCCAGGTGAGAGAGGACTAGTGTGAAGGTTGGCTTTTGCTGAGAGGGGTGGAAAGCTTGCATTTCTGCAATATTGGAAAAACAAGAGTTGGTTACAGGCTAAAGGGGGGGGCAAAGTAAAGAGGGAGCCAAAAATAAAACCAAGACTTTGTGCTTGTCAATTGATAAGAATACATAAGAATAGGGCTTAAGAGGAATGCTGAGAAATTTCAACTCTGACACACAGAGATTTGGAGCTATTAAAAATAGGACATTGCATCTAATCAGAATACACATTCCCTAGCAAATTAAATGGAGTAATCTGACTTTTGGAAGAATAAAGAAAACCGATAGCGTTTTGATACCAATCATGACATCATAATAGGAGGCCAAGGGCAAGGGGACAAGGCCTTCAACAATGGAATAGTAAGTAGTAGAGCTGAATCAAGTCTCATATGCCATATACTAGAATCCATACCTTGTTTCTGCTAACAAGCAGTGTTCTGTAGCTTGCATCCACGGACATGGCAACCTGAACTCTACTTCCATGGATAATAATAGTTTCTCGTTATCAATACACAGGCACCCCCAATACAAGGTGCAGTCCTGCTCCCTCAATTGTGACCATGAGCACATTTTGATCCTTATGAATTCTGAAAGCAAAAAGCACCAGCTTTAAAGAAAGGGATGGAGATTCTGTGGCCACCCAGATATTCTCCCTGTAGTCCCAAAAAGTGTCGCTAACGGGGAGGATGACTGGAGCTGTGATCCAGCAATATCTGGATGGCCACAGGTTCCCCATTCCTGCTCTAGAGACAAAAACCCTTAAAAACTCTTATAAAACAAGAGGAATGCCAGTTCATTATATTACACTTTTATTTTACAGTATTTCCAAAGCTCTTTTATAGATGCTTTAACTGGGAGAGCTGCAATACTGACCAAAGGAAAAAAATATATACCTACAGATTGATTACACAAGTTTTAATATCTACTTGTACTGAACCATTAATATCCAAAGGGGTGTGTCAGGTAGTGCAGTTGGTGTGCGGCAATGCAAATTGCACAGAGAGAGAGAGATGTTAAAACAAAAAGTAAACATTGTATCCATGGCTACACAACAGAGGGCTTTGCAAACACGTTTGGTACTGTAACATTCTAGACAGCAATATGCTTCGAAATACATATTTAATACAATACATGCCTTAGAAAGCTTGTATTCTGTGCGTGTAAACTTCAACCAAATAAAGTAGGTACGTTAAAAAATAGAAATAATAAAATCTGAAAGTAAGCTCTTTATCTCAAAAGTAGGCTGAATTTATGAGAACTTTGATTTGTCATTGGAACTTTACACTTCCCCCTGCAATTTTGTTTTTACTAATAAGCGTCTTGATGCTACTTAATTACTGCTACTGTGCAAGACACAGAGATAAGACCTCCAAAGGGGCAAAAGCACTGCCTTGATACGTGTACGTCACTGATTTAAGTAAAAATTCGTATGGATCACACCACAAAAAGAAGCACTGCAGAATCAACTTTAGGGTAGCATTGCAGTGTCACAGCTGTATTCCTGTGGTGCGTACAAGTTGTGTACAAGGTTTTCTAACGCACTGAGAAAAATCCCAGACAATATTTCAGTAACCTAATTGCTATGCTTAATATTTTGCCTACTGAATATTTACTTGCATGATGCTTTCTGGAAGCTAGGCAGAGACAAGATGTGATGGTCCAAGCACCTTAATTGTCTGCGAGATCGCCAAGTGAAGCCAATTCTTCAGGCGCAGGTTTCCTTGTTGTCTAGACTAGGTGAGTGCACTTACAAGGACTTTTTTCCAGGATGCCCACCCCCCTCTGGGCATCAGGCACATGCTGGCTTTTGCCCTGCTCCAGGCTTCACAAACAATTTTTGGATCGCTCCATATTTCATAATGGTTGTCCAAAGGGTATAAAGGTGGAATTGAGAAGCATAAAAGGCAACTGGGATTATACATGAAATTTCCACCAAGCGACAAAAGTCTAGATTGTAGGGCAGTGGCACAATGGCATATTAGGCATTTTATTCCCACCCACCCACCCACTGGCCACTATGTTACATTTTTAGCTCTCATTAAACCAATTGAAAACAATATCAGAGTAAGGCCAACATCACACTTTCTACCACAGACAAATTCTGCAACCAAGATGTCACTGGAGCAGGTTGCAACTTTTGAAACCAGAGCTTCTTTATCCAACCTAAATTGCAATCAGTGGTTTCTGATCATATTTACAAGGTCATAGGCATCATTACAAGCATATTTTTTTTTACAGATTATTTACTTACACGTTCACATTTCCACCTTCATTTATTTACTAATGTTCAAATTGCGAGTGGTCAAGGGCTGACAGTTTAGAACAAAAACAAAAATCCCAGCACATCAAGGACTGTAAAGTTCAAGTTTGAATCATTCTTGTTGCAATGCACCAAGTGGAATAATGACATACCAGCTCTGAACCAAGTGTGCAGGGGAAGGGAATAAATGGTAAACAATTCGGGTTTTCCCCCCATTAGAATGACCTTCCAGGGGAAATATATAATTTGAAATAAGGCAAAAAGAAAAAGAAAAAAAGGCATTTCAATCTATGCAAAATTAAGGGCTAATAATTTCCTTGTACAGATGTCCTGAGATTTGTACTGAATGGGTTCTGTATGTGTTTATCACTAATATTAACTTAAAGCTCTATACACTCAACGAAGTTTGGTTAATCATGGACCCATATTAAAAAGTGAGGCAATAAAACATATGAGAACAGAGGTGAGGGCAAGGGCATTAACAAATGCCTCCATCTTTCTCACCGGCCTGAAAGACCAAATGTCCAACAAAATGTAAAAGACAGCATATGTTTTGTGTAGTCTAAAAATTTGTTGTGATAACTTATTGCAAATTGCACTTGGCAGTTCACCACACCAATGGAAAACTGGCCCCCTGTTGGTTCACACAGTCCTGTAAGCCTTGACTCAAGGTCACCAGTAGAAGGATCTGGAGAGAAAGTTTGCAGCTGAGCTCAGCCAGCTGGCTGCACCTTCTGGGTGTGATCCAACCCGGGACACTGCTTTGTCTTGCTCCTTTGAAGGGCTTTCATCTTCTGGCAGATACTCAGGGAGGTCGGTATTCTGTTCCACTTCTACAGGAGTATCTTGGAATGGAACCAGCATCTGTTTAATGGGATTCAGAAAGTCGTTTTACCCAATCTGACCTTGCTGCGAAGCTCAGCATCACTCATTCATGCAACTGCTGTTTTAGACATAGTTCAGAGTTTTAGCAAATCTAGGAACTGTGACATGCAAGATAACTTTATAGGTCTGAACAAAGTAACTCCTCCATTCACTTCCTGATAAGCATGCCCCTCAACCAATGGGAAGAGTTTACCTACATTATAGCAGGCTTTAGACCAAGCTCTTGGAGACCTGTGTAATTAATTTGAGTTTCCGAAATGTTTGTGCTTAATATAATCACTGTAATTCAGAAGATTGCAAACGCTCTTAGCAACATGACATTAATGCCTTCATTACATAAGGCTATTTTGCACCTCTTGCTAACTGAAATCAATATTCTACAATGCTAAACCTATGACACACTTTCAACTTCTACCAGATTTTCCATGTACAGTTGGCATGAAAGCTCCACAAAAGAAGCAGCTTTCTCTTGTTTCAGGAAGTGAGGCACCCTGTATGAACACACTGCTGCTTACATTGCATAGATATAACATGCCTTGGATTCAAAATAGAAATTAAAGGAGACGACACACACACACATCCCCCAAAAAGCCACATCTGCATACAATTTCATGTATGTTCAGCCAGTGGGATTATTGCTGCACCCAAAGAATAGACCAATTGCATTTAATTCCTTTTCTTTAATTGCCAACGCTACCAACAGGCTTGCGTTCTAAATTACGAAGCGTTCTCTCACCTCTTCTCCACTTTCACTTTTCACAACTTGCTGGGCTTTCATAACTTTGGTTGATGCTATTGCTGTTGCCAGTGCCTATACAACAAGAAAATGGAAAAACAGAAAAGAAGAGCAGGTGAGTAAGTCATTACTCAGCGTCAGAAGAATGTAAAAGGAAAACGGCTGCAAACCTTACCTCTGCTTTCAAATCTGATCTGATTCGGACTACACATCTTTGAACTGCCATTTGAAACGTGAAGCTGATGACCCCTTTAATCTTCAGCAAGGCCTCTTCGCAAAGGTTTCTCCGAGACTAAAAATTAACGGCACCAGTTATTTGCAAATACCTAATAAATAATTGCGTACGTTAAACACAGATCAGTTAAGAAACAAGACACATGAATTGAAGCAGAATGATGCTTTTTAATATATATATATTTTAAAAGAGGAGAGGGAATGGCTCTGAATTTAGCCATAAGAGAATTTAAAAACATCATTCCTGCCTACATTTTGACGACAAACCAGAATGGAATCAACTGTGAATAATGAGGGGAAAGTGCTGAAAAGCAAAGCAAGCTTTTCTCCGTATGATCAGCTAAACAGTCCCCTGTGGTTAAGTTCTGACTGACTGCAATGCTCATTGATGAGCAGTTAGTGTTTAAGTTGCTATTTATCAGACACCTTGTATCCATACTGACTGAATGCATCAAAGCAGCTGTTGTATCCTTCAGCTACCTCATCTGTGGCAGCTCATGGACATCACTGCACTGCACAAACTGAACTCTGATTGCAAAGGAAAATGTCCGCTCACAAAACACACAAGTGAATGGTTACGTTTAAAGCAAGTGACAGGGCCTACTGTGCAACAACACGACACTGACCTGTGCTAGTTGCACCTGCTCTACGTTAGCTCAGCGTGCTTCCATGCATTTACTGAGTGTCTCAAAGACATCAGCATACAAATAAGTGGCTTCTTAGAACTACCACAAGCGCAATATGAAACACAGCCTGGCCTACATAATCATGTATATGAGCTACTTGCTTGGTGTCTTACAACACGAACACATTCTTCTCAACCAGTACTGCATTCTTAACTCCCTCCTCAAGCCTAGCTCCCAGGGTTTATGGCTAAGGCAGCAGGTTGGCTCAGATGTTACAGGAAGCCATGGTTTTTGCCATGTTAACAAGCCTACACAAGCCTCAGGCTCACACACTTCCCTCCTCCTCTTATTTTGCATAGCCACCAGTTTCCCATTGCATCCAAATTTGGGGATGCAGGTTCCTTTAAGAACAAGAAAGGATCAAACCATGGTTTCAGAGCCTAGTCTGTTTATAAAACTAAGTTTAGCCAAAGTACAAATCCAAGTCCATACCTTATGGGGAACTCCCAGTCTCCTCGCAAACAACACAAGACGTGGGGAGCACACAAACATGAGACTCATTCATAAGTAGTATCAAACTATGGTCTGACATTACATGAGAACTGGAAACCACAGTGGAACATAGGAAGATGCCTCAAACAGAGTCATACCATTGGTGCATCTGCTAGCTCAGTATTATCTACACTGAGTGTCAGTGGCTCGCCAGGGTTTCAGGCAAGACACATTCCCAGCCCTACCTGGACATGCCAGAGGCTGCAGCTGAGATCTTCTACATGGGAAACAGGTGTTCTACCACTGAACCAGAGAATACACCCATTGAAACAATATGTAAAACTTCAGCATGTACATCAGGCCAACACAGGTGAAATAAGATTAGTCAAATGTGCTCCGATTTTCAAGTTGTGTTTTTTGCTTCAAAGCAGCCCCATACAGAGAGCATCATTACAGTGACCTAGCCAGGGTGTAACTGGGGCATAGATAACCAACACCAAGTTCATCCTCTATATGGAGGCTGGAAGAAAAATGAACTAAAATCCAACAAGTTCATGTTTGGCAAGATTAAGTCAAACTGCTGAATTTTATCAGGGTTTCTGCCTCAAGAGTAACATGCAGATACACCTGACTATGCATTGGAAGTCTGTATTTATGAGAAAGAACAGTCCTACACACACACACACCAGTATTGTTTAGGGGTTGTTGTGACTGTTATTGATATTATATTAATTTTTACATTTTATAATGATTTATGTGGGAATGGTTCAATTATGGCTGTGCACTTTTTGATGCGTTTAATTTATTGTTTGGTTATTTTTGTTATGCTTGTAATTATGCAAATCTTTTCACATTGCGAGCTGCCTTGACCGTGGTTTTAACTATGGAAAGGCAGCATACAAAACAAATTATGGTGGTGATTATGAGATGACAGGGCAAGCAGGAGTGGTGACAAAATGTTCATGATGCCCACTAAAGTATATTGCTGGGATATACATAGAGCTTTAGACAGTAATTACATAAGATTTCACAAGAGAGACCAATTAGTATCATTTCTGTGAAAAATGAAGTACAGCTGTTCAGTTATTATTGTCCTTTAGGGTTTGCATTTGCTTGCTTGCTTGTTCTTCCGGGGTTTTTTAACTGCCTAAAATCTTAAGAAAAAGAGGCAAAAAGAACATGATTATCCCAGTTGTTGTTGTTGCTGTTGTTATTATTTCTACACTTGAAGATAGCTTACATTTCACGCATTTCATGTTAGAAGCACCTACCTGAAACTCAGAACTGCTGCAAGTGCTGACTATAGTTTAAGATATCACTTGGAGGTCAAAATGATTTACAAACAGTGTTTTTCATTGCCCTTTGTAGACTGAAATGGCATGCTGTGCACAAACTAAAAATCAAGTAAAAATCTCCCTAAGAGCAGAGAAGGTTTTGAGGACAGCTTAAAAAAACAAATAAACTTTAATACACATTTTCCCCTTTTTGCTCTTGAAGGAATATGCTGCCAGGCCATCAGCAGTTAAGGAAGCCCTCCAAATTAAGTATGTCTACATTTCTTACTGCATGCTGGCTACTAGAAACAAGGATCTGCATTAGCATTGTTTTAGGAGAGCAATACAGGCAGCTTTGAGATATGCTGACCACAGACCATTTACAGTGGTAACGCGTATTTAAATTGGCAGGCAAAACAGAAACAGGCAGCATTTTTCTGGCTTTTAGAGAAGCTTTAGAGACAGTGATGGGCAAACAAATGAGCTACCAAGTCAGTAAACATAATAAGGACAAGACTACTGGAACTGATTAAACCTGGCTTAAAGAAGCGGGTCGGGCCGAGGAGGGGAGAGAGAAATATAAGGAGAGAGCAAAATGGTGGTGGCAAGAAGAGGAGGAAGGTAACTCTGGGAAAGCAAGGGTATACATATGCTCATTATTCATCCGATTAACAGCCACTGACTTTATTAAAGAAGATGGGATCTATATACAGACCTGGTTCTCTTAAAAGGCTTACTTAGGCCCCCCACCCCCGAACAAATGTAAGCCAGTGCAGCAGAAGATCAGGTTAGATAATTTAAAAGGCTACAAAACTGAAACAGAGACCTGAGGGCACTTGTGGATAACATGCTCAAACAGCCTTGCATGCTGCTTGGCAGCCATAAAAAGGCAAACATGACCCTGGGGTGTTATCTACAGGGGAATGGAGGATAAATTTATAGAAGTTATTCTGACATTGCATGGAGAATCCACTGAGACCTCATTATTACAACAGTTATCCAATAGCCAAGAGAAATCTCAGGCAATGAGAAAAGATGTTAGGAAGAGCAGGCTAAGAAAATTCAACATTTCCTTAGGCCTGAACAATGGGAAGTTGATAAATTGTTATGAATGTCTCATGATGTGAAGAAGAAAAAACACCAGGGGGGGCGGGATTACCATTCATCTGATGGCTAGGTTGATCAACCTTTTCCAGTATAAAGTATCACTTGTTGGGTAGCGGTAGGGATGACTGCTACCGGGAGACCCTGGAGAGATGCTGCCCGTCAGTGCAAACAGTACTAAACTAGAGGGACCAATGATCTGACTCAGAAGAAGGCAGCTTGTGATGTTCTGATGTCCAAACGTAATGCAGTCAATTATTTAATGTGACCTTTCTATTGTCAGCTTCTTGGGGGTATTTAACGTTTTGCATCAGTAAATTCTGATGCACAGTAAATTCTACTAAGATCAACTCCTACAAGTTACCGACATCTAAGAGATTGGTACAGACTTCATAAATGTTATTATGTTTATGGCATTTCGTACAGAGCAGTCTAAGCTGTAAACTCAAGGAATGCTTACAGAAAACAAGGTGCCCTTCACACACCTTGATACATAAGTGTGCATTGTATACCCTAAAACACCCTTTTCTTACCGAATCATCAAGGCCATCTATGTGTAACACGACTGTTTTAGCACGTTTATTTGTACTTCCCAGAAAAAACTGAGCTTTCCGGCGCCGTGAATTCATCTCGTTCACATTGTCAACGTCGGACATTGTGGAAGACTGAAGAATATCATAGATTTCAGAAGCCAACAATTTTGTCTCTCCTGGTGTGGTGGTCCTAAGGCAAAGCAAACTGAGGTTTGTATGGATTTTGCTTTACAATCCTTTGCATTTTAGTTTTGTTAAATATATTTCTTAACAGCTTAATACAGTCTCTAAGCAATTTACAAATAACATGATATATATAACTCAGAAATTAGGGTACAAGGCAATGCAATAAAATAAAATAATAAAATCTGAAAGAACAAAAACATGGCACCGTATCTGAAACACCTTTAGAATCATGGTTCCCTTCCCCCTTCAGCCTTCCTCTTACCAAGGCACATCTTGACTCACCAAATACTACACATCACACTCAAGTGTTGCCTTAAAGGTAAAGGTAAAGGACCCCTGACAGTTAAGTCCAGTTGCAGACGACTCTGGGGTTGCAGCGTTCATCTCGCTTTACAGGCCCAGGGAGCCTGCGTTTGTCTGCAGACAGTTTTTCCAGGTCATGTGGCCAGCATGACTAAGCCATTTCTGGCGCAACAGAACACCAAAACCAGAGGAGCGCACAGAAACACTGTTTACCTTCCCGCCGGAGCAGTACCTATTTATCTACATGCACTTTTTGGGGTGCTTTCAAACTGCTAGGTTGACAGGAGCTGTGTTGCCTTACATCGACACAAATCAATGATACCTACTACTTATTCAGTATCACTTTCCCAACCTACACCCACACCTCATTCATACCCACCAATATGCACAAACGCGCCATCCACTCAGTGATTTCAATACTCACACTCAATCACCAACCACTTTCACCAGTCAAGTCCTTCCACTGCACAAAAGTGTACTGCAAAAACTAGGGAGACAATGAAGCCATTCACTGACAGAGCAGTATAAATAACAAGGCAGGCGGCCACTCATCAGTCACACAGATGAACTGCACCCCCTGCACCTGGTACTCCTTCCTCTCACCAAGAATTGCCCACAGACAATTCAAACCACACAGAAGGAATTAAAAGAAAAAGAAAAACTTTGAAGGAAGGCACCCACATCACAATCCCAACACCCTTTGCCTCAGCAGTACAGTACTGGTTTTATAAATTTCCAAAATGAAGGTTCTCAATATGAAGCTAAGCGATGCATTAACTTCCCCTTGTGCTGTCTGGTTATCTTTAGCTGAATTAGGAACCATACATACCTAATTTTATTTGGATGCCGCCTTTCCACAGTTCAAACCCCCCTCAAGGTGGTTTACAACATTACAAAACCCATAACTACAACGTAACTAAAGTATTTATAAACAATAAATAAAACATTAAATACACAACCAAACTGAACAATTTCCACATAAATCACAACAAAATATAAAGATAAAAAAAAAACCAACAGCAGCAACAGAAACACACACCCCCAACACAACCCTCCCTCCAAACATGAAAACCAGGCAGACATCCATGTCTGCATGACCCTTCTAATGCCCCAATATGAAGAGTTTTCATCTGACTATCAAAACTGTATGCACCGACTTAATTCCCATTGAGGTTTCTTGCCCACACTATGCAGAGAGCCCTAGCTGACTAGGAGTTCTATTGAACTGGGCTTCTTCACCTCAGCACTACTCCCTGCAAAGTTTTCTCTGGAACTCTCCTCTCTCCAATATTCCTCTTGCTCTCCCTCTTCTGCCCATAACATCCATCCAGCATTCTCGTCCTCCTGTCTCAAACCATGGATCTCCTTGTTGTCTTCTTGGCAGGGATCTCCTTGTTGTCTTCTTTGTTTCCTGCTTGGCAGGGGGTTGGACTCGATGGCCCTTGTGGTCTCTTCCAACTCTATGATTCTATGATTCTATGATTCTCCCCACAGATACTCTGCATTTCACAATAAGAGTGAACAGCAGCCACTTACTTTTGACAGAATGCCATCCAACAGCACCATTAGACCAACAGAAAACCAACTGAACTTATCTGCATTGCCCCAACTAGGGTTTTATTTCTTGCTCAGAGAAGTGGGGTGGTTCTTTATTTGATCAGAAAGCAATGGGTATTGCATTTTAATGTACTGAAAATATGATGAGTGGGGGGAGGGGAAGTATTTAGTAACACAAGCAACTTTTCTGCATCAGCTGACAAAAGAGGGACCAAGGGACCAAGCAACATTGCTCTCCTTTGGGTAACTGCAAAAACCCAAAGGAGTCAAAGGAGTAAGAGGAAAAGAAGAAGGCCACTGCCAGTCTGGCTATTTCCCTTCCATAGGTACTGACCTCAGCCTGGAATACTGTCAGTCTGGCATCTTTCACATACACTAACGTCAAATTAAAATATGCTGCCCCTTTTAAAAATAGCAGCTTGAGCAATCTTTGCTTTTTATTCCAGCAAGCTGTCAAGAAAGGACGGCATATCAGACAAGAGCCTGTTTCAGCATTTTCCCTTCATAGCTTTTCGATTTGCACGGAAGACTACAGCATTTCTAACATCTCAGAATTCAGACAATGCCTAGCTATCAAGTTTAATGGATGCTTTAAAATACTGCTTGTTCCATCATCATCACCTATTTCCAATTCTATGCAATGAAGCCCAAAATTATTATTTGAAGGTACTTGGGGGGGGGGGAATAATGGTTTCCACTAAAAAAAAAAAAAAAAATAGAGTGACATGACTGCTTAAAGCAAAGAGTGAATTTCAGCACATACCCTCCCCTCTGGAAAGTGGAGAAATGGCACCCAAATTTGCAGGTTGTGAATGGGACAATGATATTCAGGGAGTGTTTTGGTACAGCTATAGATGAGCCCCTAACCAGTTTTGAAGATTTAATGTTTAGCATGATTGCAGAACATAATATTTGTATAAGATCACAAAACAAAAGTTGGTGTTTAAGTTGTTTTGCAAAATGCTTACTGAACTCCGAATTCCTGAAATATTTTCAATTCTGAAAATTTGTAGTATGTATGTATTTCCTTCCGACCAACAATTATAATTCTGACAAAACATATAACAAAACAAGGTGTATCTTCAGATCAAGTAGAATTATTTTGGTCTGTTCTAATTTGACACACTAGATGGCGGTATTACCTTTTATTACGATGTCTTGCAATTCATCCAACACTGCATTCCCAAACTGAACAATACTCTTAGTGTGCATGAATAATTTATCTTTCGGCTAAGTGTATAAAATGTTCACAACCCATTTAAAAGTATACCATATAATCCTGTTTGTAGTGTCAGAGAGGGCATCTTTTTCTTCAAATATCCTTTTATGGGGAAGGTGTCATAACAAAGGGTCCAATTTTAGAAGGCTATTTGTGCCCTTCTAACCATGGTTAATTATTTGTGAGAAGTACAAGCAAGTAAAATTGTGTTAAATCAAAACTGAGGCAGTGGCTTGGTTTACAGGATTGTGTGCATCTTATCATACCTGAAAGGGACTCCTGTGCAATTAAATACATAGTTACTGAGCTAATCGTTTTAGGCAAATAATAAATTGGAGGGGGGTGAATAGATCGGTTTAGTTCAAGTAGTTCAGTATGAGACTCTGAAAGAGGCATACTATCTTGGAATAGAATGCTTCGAGCCAAGTAATTGGATTTTTGCTTTCATTAACTAGCCACTTAGTATCAAGAACTACTGAACATACCAGTATCCTCACAGTGTTTTCAATGTTACATGCAAAGCCAGGAATTCATGTACAGTGGTACCTCGGGTTAAGTACTTAATTCGTTCCGGAGGTCCGTACTTAACCTGAAACTGTTCTTAACCTGAAGCACCACTTTAGCTAATGGGGCCTCCTGCTGCTGCCGTGCCGCCGGAGCCCGATTTCTGTTCTTATCCTGAAGCAAAGTTCTTAACCTGAAGCACTATTTCTGGCTTAGTGGAGTGTGTAACCTGAAGCATATGTAACCTGAAGCGTATGTAACCTGAAGCGTATGTAACCCGAGGTACCACTGTATTGGAGATTATGAAAGGAATCTGCTTGAACAAGGAAGCCACCTTTGCAATCTAATTCCCAGGTCCCTTATTCTTAAAACAATTTTAAGACAGAAACGCACTATATACCACAATAATCTGATAGTTTGTAAGGGGGTACAGACTCCCTCGTAAGGTGGTGGTAGGAAGGAAATATGTACATACTCCAACCTTCATTGGAAGATTTTAAAGCAAAGGTCATGGATGCTCCAGCTGAGATATCTGTACTGCAGGGGGTTAGACCAGATGACTCTTGGGGTCCCTTCCAACTCTAGAGTTCTAGGATTCTATGATAAATTATGTACTTTTACTATAGATAGCACACTATACTTACTTTTGCACGACGGTTTGTAAGCTCAGCATCATACCTAGTTCACTTTTCATCTTTTCTCTGTTGGCACGACATTCCGCCAAATAACGGAGAGCCTGTAAGAAAGGGCAAGTTAAAGTAATCTAATAGAATAATGCTCTTGTTTCTAATTTTTCTTTTATACATCTCTCAAAAATAAACTATCAATTTTGAAGATATTTTATGTAATGGTTAGAACATATGCAATTTTAGTTTAATAAGCTGCACCCCAAAATATTTTTGGTGTATTCTTGTCTAGAAAAATCCCAGTAATTATATAAATATGATTTTGACTAAATATTGAATTAAGAGAACTGATTCTTTCAGTTGTCTATCAGCAAATATAGTATCATATAAAACTAAGTTAACATTTCCAGCAAGTTGCGTATAATGGGATAACTCAAAATATGAATGTTAAATGTGCAGCTGTTCAAAGCATTGTATTTGCATTGTTGCTGCTGAAGGAGTGTTTTTGCGTTATATATGTATAAAACTAGGGGCTGCACTCCTGCTTGCTCCTCTCATCAACCCACCTACCAGTTTCCCCATCCCAACTATGCAACTACTAAGCTCACTTTCACCTTCATGTCATTTCTGAAGCCACTTCTCTCTCATTCTGCAGTCCTGCTTTACACCCATTTTCACCTTCACCCCATGTCCTTGCCTCCTCCCCCTCCTTTTGCGCAATTCCCCCTTGCACACCTTCATGGTAACTTCCTGCACCTTCCGCCTCCCACACACTGCACCTACAAAGCACCCTTTTCACCATCCCCTCCTATTCTTTAAACCTTCCATCCCCTTTCATCTTCAGCTCCATTCCCATGCCTCTTACCCCTCCTTTTTTCAATCACCTTTACACTCCCATTTTCACCTTCACTCCTTTTTCCTCCACCCTCCTCCTTTTCTCAACTCTTCCTTGACACAGATCACTTCCTCCTCCTCTCTCCTATTCTGCAACCCTTTTTCCACATACATCCCATGCTGATCGATATTACTGAATCTTTAAGATGAACAGATTTTAAGAGCAAGCCTGTCAACTTGTTCAGTTGGAGAAGGATAAGTTTAGTTGACAGATGTTGTATGTATATGGGTGCTTGCTTTTGGGAGGTAAATTGTTATCATACAAACAATTTGGGTTTTTCATTGTTCTACTTAGCATCATATTTTCTCTGAGCTCTGAGACTGCATGTGTCACGATTAAGTGGCATTCAGAAACAAGAGGACCTTGAACCAGTTGTCATTGTGTTGTGTAATTGGTCTTGTGCCAACGTTAATGTTTGCTTAGTTCCTAACAGCTCTGATACAGCACGTCCATTGCCCTAATACCTGCTGAAGAGTATTTCTGTTATGTTTCATTATTAATTTAGACTGCCAACTTACACTTTATACATTTACCTGGGAGTAAGGCCCATTTATTTCAGTAGGACTAGATTCTGATTTGGAGAGTGGGAAGATGAGAACTATGACTACTTTTACCTTGGGGTGGGGGCGGGACCTGGCATCAAACAGAATTAACACTGCTCCTGAACTCTCATATTTGATATACATTGCTAAACTTTGGTATCATTCAAAGTTGCATCAATAAATTTCTTTATTTCTTTTTAAAGAAATCCTCCACTTCAATGCCATAGTTTCTCAGAATGTACCAGAGTGACAAGAGCATAAACTGCATTTCAGTTTTGCTGCATCTGGGATTGTCATTTTTAGGTGATCCTCTCTGGCTAAGAATCTGTGCTATTACAATACATCTTTTCTTCTTCAGTAAAATTTTCCAAAATGTTTTGTTTTAAGATATTTTATGGAAACACACTGGTGTAAAATATGGTTGCAACAGCCAATGAGTGCTTATTTAATATTAAATCCTGAAATTTAGAGTCCCAATCACATAGTCATGCTACAGAATGCATAGGAAAAAAGTTGCACAATTAGGAAACAGATGATACTTACCAGTAGGGCTGAATGGACAACTGGGGGATTGGGATGATCCAAAAATAAAATAAGGCCTGGTAGACATCCCTGATCCTGGACAATTGCTCTTCTGTTTAGGGGATCAGCTGCAAGGTCCCTCAGCTGATTAACTACAGATAACGCATCAGGCTCTTCACTCATGCTGCTGTTCATTTTTGCTTGTCATACATAAAATTCTGCTGGAAAAGAAATGTTATTAGAAATATTGTGGAGTTAATGGCCACTGTCATTAGCTTGGTGTGGTTCAAATTATATTTCCTTAAGTAATCCTTTAGGAGTCTTTAAAAGACTACATGTAGACACTAGTCAGCACATGCTGCTCAGATCACTATTCAAAATTCAACAAAAAGGCAAACCTAAGACACAGTATGTATTGTTTTAAATTTTAATGCACTCAAAGTTCCCATTTCCTTCCACCAAAATCAGACAGCAAGTCAAAGAATCTAATACATAGCACATCTTATCGCTATTTCAGCTATCAACATCAGAAGTCAGTAATAGAATAATTCTTGCTGGGCAAGAATTATTCCTAATCCATAGTTATCACCATCTTATACATATAAAGACATGTAAAGCTTGACAATGCTCAACCCTTTGGCCCATCCCACTATGCAAGGACTCCCAGCTTTACCCCAAAAGCAAGTAAATAGAATAGGTGGGTGAAATAATCACTAAAGCATTTGCATTTCACTTTCACATACACACAAAGCACAAAAACATAGTGAAAATTGGCTTCAAGTTTTTAATATTGTGAAGGCTTCAGTCAGAATCCAAAATGCTATTTTAGATAGGTTCACAATGCATGGAAGCCCTTGTTATAACATTTCATATACAGCTTTCAAAAGTGCCTAAAGGGACTATCATACAGTAAACAGAACAGAATTCTCTTGGGTAAGCAAATGAAGGCATGTGGTTGTTCAGGTCTTGACCAGTGCCCAAAGAGCTTCACGCAGCATATGTATTTATCAGTTGCAATGCTGGATGGAATATGAAGGTATACAGTCTCCATAAGGATCTAATTTCCAAAATTGTGCATTGGAATTATCATCTGAATAAAGGAAGCATGGCATGAGTAGCGGAAAGGCAACCTTCTAAACTGCTGCATGCCACCCCTGGCAAAACAAAACACAACGCACCGCTGGAACCTAAATTCAATAACTAGATTATTAGAATAGCAATTTTCAAACTTTGCTCCAGAGAATCCTCATATGCTTATCACAGGTTCCTCAATTGAAAGAGCCATGATGACAGTCAAGGGATTGAATCCAACCAAGTCATACTCAGAGTAAACCCACTGAAACAGACTTGTTAATGATATCCAATGATTTGAATGAGTCTACTTAAGCATGGCTAATGTTGACAACAACCCAAGCTTCCTAGATAGACAGCTTGCCTATTTCTCCCTGCAAAGTACGAGGACATTGTTGAGTATAATCCAGCGTGCACTCACAGCTCACATGCAGCAACAATGAGGACCAATATGGCTGGTGTTCTCTATGAAATGTCTGTTCACCTTAGTAAACATGGTCCAGAATATTCTGAATGCACAAGGTTCTTGTGTGTAGACACCCTCAAGTTCTGCAGCAGACAAAGCAATGCAGAAAGGGCTCCTTGAAGGTGGAATCTGAAAACCACTGAGCTAAAAATATGAGCTAACTCCACCATGAATAAAGTATTGAGAAATTAAACTGGTCTGGAAATCAGGATATTTGTTTCCATGAAGCTAACTTCAAAAGCTGTGCTTAGGATCAACCCTAAATACTGTATGTGGCTTTTACTGAAATTGATGGTCCTTAGGGCCACAGACAAATATTTGTGCTATTTACTGATTCAGAATTACACAAATATCACCAAAGAAACTTGATACAGCTTCTGACCACAACCTGAGCCAGAGACTGACAACATTCTCATATTAAGAATTATATGTAATTCATTAAAACAAATATGCCTCATCTATTTCACTGTTGTTGTTTTTTACTTACTTCAGTGCGCAGCACAATCCTATATGCACGTTTATTCATAAATCCCACTCTGCCAGTAGGGCTTGCTCCCTGGTAAGCATGCACAAGTTCATACTCAAACACTGCCAGGAGTACGCATGCCTTCTTAGAAGTCCTACTTGTTTAAATAGGACTAACTTGCAAGCATATACACAGTCTGATAAAAAAAATCAAGACCCAAAGAAATCACTTTTGTTTCTCTTTTGAAAAACAAAAGCAACTCACCATATAGCACTGTGGCTATATTTAAACACCAAGTCTTAGATGCTGCAGCAAGCCTTTTCTAAAATGAAACAACGGTTAACCAAATAGTCAGCCAAAAGTAAATCTAGCTCACTGCGACAGAACTTCGTCCCAGATGTGGACATCCAAGATGCTATGTTGGTCATTTGTACTATTTCTCGTACTGGTTTGTATCGCAAAAATATCAGAAGTTCAGTACACAAGGGATTGCTACCTTACATGCCAGCGCTTAAACCTCCTCCCCATTCCCCAGGGCCAGATAACTGAAATCAGCTTCTGCTGCAATCATATCCCCAATTACCTGGGAGGGCTGGCCATTGAACCCAATGGAATTTCCATCTGAGTAGACCCACATAGTACCACACTTTAGGCTAGCAGGGACTAAGCCCCACTAAACGAAATTGGGCTTAAATCAGGGTAAACATACATAAGCTGATACTATGGAGAGAAAGGCAGCCATTAGAAACCCCTGATGTTTTGATGATTTAAAATAAGAGCTTGTGATTGGGGTGGGAAGAGGTCAGGGGACTCTTAGGTTAGCCTGCCCGGGGTCCCTCTCCTTGGTCTGGCTTCCCCTGCCTTCGGTGGCCCAATACCCCTTAACCCTCACCAGGCTCCTTCTCCCCACCGACTCCCCACTCCGAAGGTCCCCCATTCCGCGCCCTCACTTTCATAGGATGCGAAAGGGGAGGCGCTTTCTTGCTCCCGCCCCGCCAGAAGAAGGAACGGTCCAGGTCACGTATCTGCTGCCGCGGAGGCCGCCCTCGTGCGAAAGGAGGCCGGGCGGGAAGAAGGCGCTTTGCACCCCGGGGCGCCCGGCCAGAGGTCAGCAGGATTGGAACCTTCTACCCCCGGAGACAACATTCACCCAGCCAGGCGGGCGCTCACAGGTCTCCGGCACCTCGGCGCTCCGGGGGACCCCATTGGCTGCAGCGGAAAGCACCTCCTGGCCAGTCGCGGCTCGCCTTGTTACGCGCGCCTCTAATTGGTTAAATGCGGCTGGCTGGACTTCCGCGGCATTGTGGGTTGGAGCCGGTGAAGCTTTTTTTTTTTTTAAGGTGGACCTAAGAAACTACAAGTCCCAGGGAGACCTTTCTCGGCGTCGTGAGCTTTCGCTGTCACGCGAGAGTATGGCGCGAGGGGGTGGGGCTTGTAGGCGAAAAGTATAAACAGAGCGATTCTGTGAGCGCTTATGGGAAGCGAGTCCCGCTCCTGTTCAGCGGGATTTATTTGTGGGCGTTTGTGTGTTTCCACGGGGGTTTGCTACCGCAGGTTGAAAAGGAAGTGTTCCAGCGCAGTCCCGTGAATGTATATGCGGAAGTAAGCCCCGCTGCTTTGAATGGCTCTTCCATCTGTAGTTTAGGAATGCAGGCAGCCTTATTAGCCAGTTCTTCTCAGGAGTAAGTCGTATTGAATTGAATTGGGCTTACTTCTGGGCATGTGGGGCTTGGATAGCAGCCTTAATTTCCTCTTTCACCAACATGTCGTGAGTCTGAAAAATATACGAATTTTGGAGTACTTTATGAATAAAAACGTTTTTTTCACTCGTAGAAACCAAAAACCAAAATAAAAAAATGGAGCGTGGGGTGACCCTGTTCGCTACCCTTAGGTCCCTGGAGCAACGGCAGGATAAAACTTCAACAGATAAACAATTACAAATGGGATCTGCTCCACAGGAGTGCTCTTAGGTTAGAGCAGGAAGAATTGAGGGGTGGGAGGAGAAGGCTCTGAAGTTTTCCCCTGCTGTACTATACAGTACATATAGCAATAGAGGGCTCCTAGCTCCTAACGTGGTTCCCTATATGAAATAAGAGGGGAGGTATCCAGTTCTGGAGAGTGGGAAAGAAAAATGGTATTGTCTTGAAACACCCCTTAAATTATTCCGGGGAGAGGGGGGAGAGCAAGTCAATTCCCTCTCTTCCCCTGCTTTCCATCTTCCTTATTTTCAAACTGACAACATAAACAGCATTCCATGCTATCAGCTATCTTAACTGATAGAAATCAGGCAGACTTCCTAAGTCTTGATTTTTTTTTTGCCATAAGACTTTAACAAATCAGTCAGGACCAGGGGGCGTTGTGGCAAAGCTGTTGCCACCCTGTTGGACTCCATCTAAAGTTGGACCACATCAAAGGAAGACTATGCAGTGTCTTGACTAGGATACATTCTTCTGTAGCAACATGCATTTTATCAATTTCCATACTTATAAGACATTTTATCAGTGGTATTTAACTCCCCATAAATTTATTGAGAAATGGGTTTTTTCTTGCTGTATTGAAATAGGAAGTATAATGACAACACAGCCATATGTTGTTTTCAGTTTAGTGTAAAGTTTTTAGTTGGGAATTTCCGTTACTGTATTGCAAAGTTATTGTTTATTGCAAACACACTGCAATCTTTAAAAATACAAATAATAGTAATAAAATACATTTTAAAAAGGAGGTAGATACCTGAATAGCTCTGCTGGTTACATCATGGTGCTGATAATGCCAAGGTTGCAGGTTTGATCCCCATATGGGACAGCTGCATATTCCTGCATTGCAGTGGGTTGGACTTGATGATCCTCTAGCTTTCTTCCAACTCAACAATTCTACGATCTAAGCTCAACAACTTTTACCTGTACCCATAAAATACGGGGTAGATCACTGCCAGTTTTTAACTCTGTAAGTAGAGTGCAGTCTTTTGGGAGTTGGCCACCCCTGGTATAAGAATCCAAGCCTAAACATACTTGGGAGTAAGCCTCATCAAAGTACAGTAGTAGGAACTTAGGAAGCTGTCTTATACCTTAGGCTTAGGGCATGTTTAGGCTGCTCACAAGGCAGCTTACAAGACATAAAATACAATACAAATATATAATATTATATAATCTAAACAACTACGTATTTAAAACAAACGCTTGACAGAGTATCAAGCCATATTATTGCACAGGGCTACTGCAGTCCTAAAATAATTTTTAATTTGCATATTGCAGTCCTTTTTATAACGACAGTACCGATAAAAGCGAGTTGCGAAATGCTACCGTAGTAGCGGACTGGGACCTAGTCCGGACGAGAAAAGAAACAACAGTTGTACAGCTTTACTACGCTCTGCTAAGTAATCATTGGCTGTTGTACCGAGCGCTCCGCATCGGCAGATGGCGCTCTCGCGCGATCCTTCAGTACTGTTCACGTGAAGAGCAAGAATTTCCCAGCTTGTCCGCAAACCAAGTCACCCGTCTCGATGGTAAACTAACGTCTTGTGACCCGGATAAGGCGGGAGCTGAAGCCTCACCTCCTGCAACGGCAAACGATGATTGGCCAAGAGCTGTAGCCGGTGCAGTTGACGGATTGGTTGTTGAAGGAGACGGGCGGGGGAGAGATGAGGAGCGTGTGTGGGAATGAACTGCCGGGACTTGGCGGCTGCTGAGGTGACTGAGAAAGGAGTATTACCGGCAGGGCGAGGCGGTGAGTCTGAGCGGCGAGGGCGGCGGCCCTCTCCGTTCGTGCTGCGGTCCCGGGGTCCGCTGCTGCGGTTTTAGCCCTTCGCGCGGCCCTTGGTACGGGACGGGCTTTTGAACCGGCTTCGGAGGGGGCTGAGGGAGAAGTTGGCCGTCCGGACTTGAGGATGCCCACACAGGCGCCTGATGGGACCCGCCAATCCCGCCCCGGTGCGGCTGGGGGTGGGAGCGAGTGGCTTGGCGGGGGCCGCTGCCCCAGAGCGCCGCTTAGTCCCAACATTTCGTTGAGAGCACTGTTGCTTTCCCTCCGCTTTTCCTAAAAGCGGGCCTTGATCCGAGGCACACTCCAACCTGGGAGCATGTAGCACTGTAGCGCTAGCAGTAAAAAAAAAATGGGGGCGAGGGTGCCTCTGAGCATGTGCAGTGCCCTCCCTCCTCCCCCCCTTGAGTAATCGCAACCCGCCGTCGCGTTGTCGAGGAATAAGGGCACAGAGTAGGCAGAAAAGCCTGATTTCCAGGGTTAGGCCTAAATCTGGCCGCTCCTTGGGTTACAAAATAGGCACTCCTTTTTTTTTCCTTTTTTTTCAGAAGTCAAGTGAAAGGTCAAAATGCTCCGCCGTCTGAGTTCTCTCTTTGTCTCCAGTGTGAGGACACTGGTTAGACAGCGGCTAACCTTGAGAAGCTCTGTTCTTTTCTCCTACTGCGTCCTAGTAAACAACACTGTGGGCCATCGCTGCTAGCACTTTGAAACTTGCCTGCCTGTGCCAACTCAGTGGTGACTTCTGTAAACAAAAAGCAGAGGCGGGGAAGCAAGGCATTTTGACTTTTTTGTCGGTACTGAGATCAAGATTTGTTTTTGCCATATTTGAATACATTGACACACACACACATCAAAAACTTGTATCTAACATAGCTAGACCTAGTTCATTCTGGTGCTTCTTACATTGCTAGGTATATAAAAACAAGTTGTGCAGAGAATAATAGTGTGTAGAAAACATAGTTGCATTTAGGTGGAAGTCATTTAGAAATTGCAAGTTACTGTCTTCTAATGCTGATAGGGAAACCCAGTCACATGGGTAGGGTATAAATAATAAAATAATAAAATTATTATTATTGAGACAAGTATTTTTAAGGTAACATAAAAACGAGGACTCTTTGTTCTTCAGGAGTGTGTGTTCTGTTAAAGCTCAGGCAGCATTTTGGGAAAGGAGCCATAGACCAATGGTGGAACACATGTTTTGCATGCAGAAACTGGCATCTCCAGTTAAAAGGATCAGGTAGCAGGTGATGAGAATGCCTGAGGCCCCAGAGAGCTGCTGTGAGTCAAGGGAGATAATACGGGGATAGATGGAAGTATTCTGATCTCTGATACAAAGCAGCTTCCAGTATACTGTGCTTATTGTGGCAACCAGTGTTTGTACCGCAAATGAAAATTCTCTGCACCTATAAATTAGGCAAATGTTTTAAAAGGAATATAAAAGCCTTGCATTTCTGTTTCATTATCATAGGTATTTGTAGGACTTTAAAATATGAACATTATTGTTTCAGACTATCTAGCTTAAAATGGGGTTTGCCAAAATAAGTGGCAGTTCAAGAAAACATATCTCTGAACTGCTTACAGAATAATTGCAACTGAGCAACATGTGCAAAACTGGTAATTTTGAGTAGCAAACCCTCACCTCTAGCCAGATCATTAGGTTGATTCATCCTCAGTTAGTGACCACAAAGTCAAATGGAAAGTGAATAGGGATTGCTTATGTACTCTGAGATATAATGCATATATTATGTTCTTGGTATCTTATGTATTACTGGGTATACTTAGAAAACACTAAATAATATTCTAAAGCACATAAGGGATCTAGGTGCTGCAGGCTTACAACCTACTTAAAAAAGAAGTAGTGGGGGAAGGAATGAAGAAAGACAGGAGTGTAGATATTTAAATCCAAACGGCACTTGCTGGCTGCTGTATGCAATGAAGGTTAACTGTTTGTGTCCCCTGTTGCCAAATCAGCCATTTGCATTTTGAGGTATATAAATTGATTTTTCCATTAGTTTGGGAGTTCCATTACACTGGCCTAGTTTGCATGTCACAATAAGTCACAATTCATCTTAAACAGTGTTTTAATTGTGAATGTGGCTGTCACGTGGGTCCCTATGGCATCCCCCCTGTGCAGCACCCACACAGCTCAAATAAGCAATAACATGACTTGCTGTGTAGCTTAATTTTGGACCATGCTCTATTTGTTTCAAATAAACCAAGTGTAGTAAGCATATAGCTCAGTCGGAAGAGCATGAGACTCTTAATCTCAGGGTCATGGGTTTGAGCCCCACATTGGTCAAAGATTCCTGCATTGCAGGGGACTAGACTAGATTATCCTTGTGGTCCCTTCCAACTCTAATACCAATATTTGTTCCTGTGGCAACTCAAGGTGACTATGAGTTGTATTTCATGAATTTCTACTCAGAGTAGACCAATTGAAATTAATTACTCCAAGTAGGTCTGTCATTGACTACCGTCCTATATGTTTCCTCCTCCTGGACAGAACATTTTAAAGGTCAGGATAAAAAAAATACTTTAAAATATTGCTTTTCTTGACAATGCAGCCTGGCTCTGTAAGCTGCTTTTCTTAGCTGAGGAAGCACAGTTAGGATATGGCAGATGAGTAGAGGCCAAGGAGGGGATTTGTTGCTCAGTGGTAGAAGAGCACAAACTTTGCATGTATGAAGTCCCCATTTTGATCTTTGGTATCTTCAGTTGGAAGAATAATGTAGTGGAAGAAAATCTGTCTAAGACTCTAGAGAGCCAATTCCAGTCAGAAAGACTCACCTGGAAGACTGTTTCATCTTTTTCCTGTACAGATAGGTACAAAAAGTTAGCCATGTTAGTCTGTAGCAGCAAAAGCAGAAAATGTCGTATTATGGCATATGAGTTCATGAATATAAGTCCACTTGCATCTGATGAATTAGTCCACTTGCATCTGATGAATAAGTCCACTTGCATCTGATGAGTCTAATCCCTGAAAGTTTATGTCATATTACATTTGCTAGTCTTTAAATGTAAATGTGGGTAGGTGGCATTGGTGGGGGTTTTTTTTGGGGGGTGGGATAGGGGTAGGGGGATAATCACAAATAAGTGGCAGTAGAAAGCCATGCAGGTACCCATCATAATTTCAGATTGCTTTGTTGAGAAGCCAAGGGGAAGTCAAAGTTTGCAAAGAGGGCTCCTAATAGTTTCCCCTTCTACGGCTTCCAGAATAGAAACATGGAATTACAGTACGTATTGTCATGTTTAGTTTTGAGAATGGGGTGATACATTATTTCCCAGATGGGTCAGAGAAGAACTTGCTGCTAGCAGATATTTGTGCTTTCTTAAGAAAGTATGCTTTAGTCTTCTGGAATGATCCATCTAAGTCTAAGAAAATGATTCCAGGTTCAAAGGGATACAAAATAAATGGCAGCCCTGAACTGCATACCATGTACTGCATGTGAGAAACTGTCAACTGAACAGCTGCACCAGCATCTCAAACATCCCATAAACGGTAAACCTCAAGGCAGTACAACTGAGGTTGCCTGTGCCAAGTTTCCACATGAAGATATTATTACCTAGGAGTGGTAAACTGTTGACTAAAACAAGCTTGTAATGAAAGCACTGACAATGAATTAACTACAACAGTTCTTGCTAGAACTGTCCCAAGTGTCTTGTAGTCTGCTGACTTGTCATTTTTTAAAAAATTCCATTCAGTTTTCCCATTATGTAGCAGATTAAGAAGTTTAACAAGTTTCCAAAATGATCATAATTATGTTCACATTATCAAATTCGTCTTCTTTCTTAGAGGAACTAAACTGAGAGCAGTAGGTATTTGTAGGTTTTTTGATGATGTATGCATTTGATTCAAAAATCCTGAAATACACCATTTTCAGGCCAAGGGCATATTGACCTCAAGTTGCCATGTATATGTGGGTATGCAAGACCAAAGTGTAAATGGAGACATGGTGAGAACTGCAGCTCTCAAGGCTATTTTCTGAACAAATTTCTCACCAACTATTTCATGCTATCTTAAATCAAGTTTTATCATTTATTATTTGTTTCTGTTATAAAAAAAAATTAAAGGACAAATTTTGGGCATTTGTCACAGGACTGGAAGCAGTATACGATTTAAAAATTGAAACATTGTGGGGTAAGGCTTAGATGTGCACAAGATATAACCAGCGTTCCTTGTGAGAGGTGTTTGAATGAAATATAAGCTTATTGAAAACATAAGCTCTTAAGAATCTTGTCTTTTAATTATCGCTAGTACTTTCTTGTCAGTTATGTTCCATAGATACACAGATACACACATTCAGAGTGGAATCCTGGCAGCTACATTCTGAACCACCTGAAGTTTCCAAAGGCAGCCCCACATAGAACATATTGCAGTAGTCTGGTTGGAATATGACCAAAATGTGGATGACTGTGGCAGAGTCATCCCATTCATGTTAGGGGGGCAGTTGGCATACGAGCCAGTGCTGATAAAACAAAAACCAAAAACACTCCTGGTCACTGATACTTACTGGGTTTCCCCAGTCAGTGCCAAATTCATGAGCCCTCCCAAACTGCACACTTCTTCTATCAGGGAGAGTACCAGTCCATCCAAAACCAGTTTTAAACTTTCTTCTGGAACTGGGGAACTCCCCACTCACAGCATCATCTTGCTCTGATTCAGTTTTAGCTTGTTTGCTGCATCCATCCCAGAACTGCCACTCGATACGGTCATACCTCATGTTATGGATGCTTCAGTTTACGTGTTTTCGGATTGCGGACTGCGGGAAATCCGGAAGTACTGCAATGGGTTACTTCCAGGTTTCGCCACTCGCGCATGCGCAGAAGTGCTAAATCACGCTTCGCACATGCGCAGAAGCACCGAATTGCGCCTGCGCAGACCCGGCGCTTCAGGGTGCGTACGCTGCAGATTGCGGACGTGCCTCTGTCGTGGATTATGTCCACAACCCAAGGTTCCACTGTACTGGTTTAGGATTTCAACAGCCTCCTTGGGAACTGAACATGGAAAGGAAAGGTAGAGCCAAGTGACATCAATATACAGATGACCAAACCTGCTTGCACCCTAGAACTTTATTTTCAATTTATGGAAATCCTATTTGACAGCGCCTGAAAGTGAGTTTACAAATTACAATCAATAAATACTGATTGCTTACTTGCGGTGAAAATTGTGGACTTAGCTTTTTTTGATATGTTTTCTTCTAGATCATTTCTCATAGTTTGAAAGAGTTGCACACAGATACTCATGGTTTCACACTTTTTTTTCCCCTCCCCAGAGTGACTATGGAACATTTGCATTCCAGCAAACTGAGGTGGTTAGCTTACAAGATTGTGGAAACCCTGCATTGTTCCAGATGATTTACTGGATTAAGCACCTACTTAGAGTGATCTTTGAGAAAGCAGCATTAACTATGGAATCAGTAAGTGTTATAGTGAAGTACAGACCTGCCTGGCTGTTAGGATCAGTGTGAAATAACCTATTGACAGTGCCACCCTTTTGAGGGTCATGGGGCAGTAGTGTTTGAGAGTATCTTTTTGTGTCTGTGGCCCCCAGGTTATAGAACTCCTCCTCCAAAGTGCATTTGGCCTTGCCATCATACACGTTTTGTCAACACATCACAGTATGCTTTTTTGCCCAGGAGTTAGATGAATGTTACATTGGAAGGGGTAGTCAAATCTCTGTACAGTGGTACCTCTAGTTACGAACTTAATTCATTCCGGAGGTCCGTTCTTAACCTGAAACTGTTCTTAACTAGAGGTGTGCTTTTGCTAATGGGGCCTCTTGCTGCCGCTGCACCGCCAGCACACAATTTCCATTCTCATCCTGGGGCAGAGTTCTCAACTCGAGGTAACTCTTCCAGGTTAGCGGAGTTTGTAACCTGAAGCATTTGTAACCTGAGGTGTTTGTAACTCGAGGTACCACCGTATAAACACTTAAATTTTTTTATTTATTCAGGCTTTGATCCCATCCTTCACCCTAAGGTTCCAAGGAGGATTACTTAAAATTGGGAGAATAGATTAAAACAATAAAACATCAATTAAAATATAATTTAAAAGAAAGTGGAGCTTGAAGTCACTACTGATCATCCGTAATTTCAAGCCCTGCTTAATTGGTCTTGTATTTCTATTTTTAGCATGGCTTGTCATGCTACGAAAGAGAAATGACTCACCTTAAGTCGACAAGTGAGTGGGCTTGTTTGTCTGCATCCATTTCAAAACTGTCAAAATGGTGGTGGAGGAACTCAAGGTCTGGCCCACTGGCCAGATTCATTTCCTTATCCTTGCTCTAGTCTTCTGTCCACATGAGAATTCCAGTGTAGATCATCCTTGTTAAAACATAATGCATGAAATCTCATGGTAGCTGTTCTGACAGCCGAACAGATTTCCTTCCCCCCCTGCACATCCCCAAACCTGCCCTGTTCCTTTTTTGGGGGGGGGGGGGATGAAAAAGTTCCATTGCACAAGTATTTGTGTCTTGATGGATGATGCTGCACAATGAACTTTTCTTTATACAGAGGCATTGCGGTGCACATCTGCATATTTATTCAAAAGTGCATTAACGGGCTTACTCCCAGGTGATATGGATTTGCAGTGAAACTTAAAGAAACAAATTATTTCCATGATAGGCAGATCATGTTAGGCAGTAATAAAACTGTTTTTCTTTTATCCTTCCAGTTGCTTTGGTCTAGTAAGCCTTATGGTCGCGATAGAAGTATTGTAAGGAAAATTGGCACCAACCTCTCACTGATACAATGTCCAAGAGTTCAGTTTCAGGTAAGATTTTAAATATTTGTTTCACTTTCCAGAGGGAAATTAAATTAATCTTAGTGGTCAGAGCAAACTAATAGGATCTGGGTCTAGGCTGTTGGTACGTTTTTTCATCTGTGAATTTGAAAGCTCTGTCAAATATCTCATAACCAGCATACTTTTCTCCAATAGGAAACTACTACAACTGTCTAACAGTTTTAAACAAAACAGTAACCATCAAAAATTAAGCAGAGATCATTCATTCATTCATTCATTGCATTCATATATACTGCCTTTCTGCCAAGGCAGTTTACAATTTGTAAGTATGAAAAGAAACAATATAACATGGCGAGTAAAGCAGGCCATGTAGTTTGTCTATACATGCCTCCCTTGATCTCTTCCTCACAGGACAGATGGTGTCCATCAGCTCAGGGGTGGCCAGGGAGAGGGGACAGTGTATCTGAAGCAGGCCTTGATGTTTTACATAGGGGGGAGGCTTCTCCAGGGAGGGAGACAATATAAATATTGTCAAATAAAGAGAAAAAATATTCTTGAAAAAAGCTTCAAAGGACCAGCTTTCAGGATGTACTAATGTGTCAGGTGAGGTATTGGGAGTCAGAGAGAGAGAATGGACCTGTTTGAAGCGCCTAAAACTTATAGCAAATGTGTTTGTGAGCTTACAATACTCACCTCTTTGTGCTATACGCCACTTAGAAGGTCTGAAGAGACCTCCAAGTATCCTCCTCTTAGGAGCTGGAGACACACTGCAGCATTTTGTTGAAGGTTCTGTATAATTATTAAAATTTACCTTTGTCATTATGTTTTAATAGTTTACATTCTCTATCTTCTGAGCAGCCTGCTAACCCAACAGACAGGTTTTACACATTGTATAACTTCCTTTAAAACTGTACCTCTGTTAGTTGTTTTTAAAATTGTTGAATGTCATGGGGAAACGTCTTAAAATATATCTTATGGGAACATTTATTCAGCAAGATATTGTGAGTTGGAAGCTTAATAATATTGACTCTGGGGAATAGTAGCGATAGCTGTCATTAAACATCTGCCTACAAGTCCAGGGAACTCTTCCAGTGAATATTCTGGTGCACTTCCTAGTGTAGATCTATGCTTTGAAAAGTTTGCTTTCATGAAAATAAAGTTAAGCAGTTTTAAATCTTTTCTGTGTCTCTGTCATCTTAGAAGAGGGATTTGTCCCAGTCTTCTTCCTATTGTAAAGAGGTTATGCATGTTGTATTAACTTGCTATAGAGTAACTTTGTGGAGCAGCAGAGCCTATTACTGCAAATGTTGAGTGAGTGATTGTCTCTAATGCAGCTAGAAATTGGCTCTGAACTTGGGAATTTTTTTATGGAAACAGAGCTCCTTTTGTCTACAGCCCCAGGAGTCACATCTATGACTCTTTTTAAATCCTGGCATGTTGACAGAGTAAATGGTAATTATCTTCTCGGATGTTTCCTTCACTGCATACCCGTATTCCCATTCTGTGTTACTGTTATGAAGCTTTGGAAATGGGGTTCAGCAATGGCTTGTTAAGGTGTCACTGTAAGTTGAAAAAAATCTGTATATGGCCAGCTCTTGCACAAAGACTTTCTATATGCTTAGAAGGGAGAGCTCCAATTGCATTTACTCAACCCACACTTTGCCATGTAAAAGCTGCTTGTGATTCAGCTGTGTTAAGAAAGGTCAGACAAAGGATAAAAAGTATCAAGAAGCTTTTAACATGTTGTGTTTTGTTGCGTTTTCATATATTCTGTTGGAAGCCACTCAAAGTAGCTGGGGCAACCCAGTCAGATGAGTGGGGTACAAAAAATAAATAATTATATTATTATAACTACTAGAGAGTTGATAGGGACACAACTCCCTTGTTACAAGAGCTTCACTGGCTACCAGTCTGTTTTCAGACACAGTTCAAAGTGCTGGTTATGTTATCTAAAGCCATATACAGCTTTGGTCCAGGCTATCTGAAGGACCATATTCTCCTATTAAAACGTGTCCAAGCTCAGGTCTTTGGGGGAGGTTTTACTTTTAGTCTTGCCACCTTCACAGGCATGCCTCATGGGGATGCAGTAGAGGGCCTTCTTGGTGGCTGCTCTGAGACTTCGGAACTCCCTAAAGAAGCTGGACTAGCTTCCTCCTTGTCCTTTTGCCAACAAGTGAAGTCTTTTTCCCCCAGGATTCTGGAAACTGGCTGTTCTTAAGGAAAGGCCTCTTAATAGTGTGCTGTACAGTTTTTTTACTATCTGCATTTTAGTAGTTTTTTACATTGTTTTAATTCAGAATACAATTTAATTACTTTTTAACAATAACCATTTATACCAATTGTGTTTTATTGGTATTTGTTTTAATTTTTGTGAGCAGCTGTGAGTCCTAGTTCTGGGGGAAAGGCACAGCATAATTACAATTAAACAGAATAAATAAATAAATAACAGTTTTGTGGCACCTAAAAGACTAACAAATTTCTTATGGCATAAGCTTTCATGGACTACAGTCCACTAAATCAGATTAGCTTACAAAAGTATATATTATAATGTGTGACTTTTTAGGGTGCCACAAAATTCTTCATTTTTGCTGTAAGATACAGTACTAACATTGCTTCCCAGCTGGAGGATTAATATATACAGGTATACACTTTCATAATTATTTCTTCTCAGTGTTAGCCTGGAGTTGTATAAGTGCATTTTTGAGTTGTGGAAACACAGTTAAATGGGATGGAGTTGGATGAAAAGTCCTAAAGATACATAGAATAGTAGACACTTTTATTTATAACTAAGTGAAAATCAGATGGAACAAAATGGTGAAACAGGGCTGGGGAAGAAGTGTTGGCACTTCATATAAAGGTGGAGAGAAATAGATACATAGAATCTTTGAAGGGCAAACAAATGTAATAGAAATACATGTTTCAAATATATAAAGAGCATTATTTTGACTTTTAGAATAATATGTGTTCCTTCAATATAAACAAGTGTAACCTTTTTGGAATCTTAGTTCTGTAATAATACAAGTCATATTGTGATTATATGCCAAATGCCAGATAAGTGTTTGTAGGCTGAGGGTGCCACTGCCACCCAGGATTTTGGTTTTGCATATGCTTGTTCTTCTGTTACATTTCTGACAATAGTTCCACAGATTTTTAATAAAACTGTGTCCTTGTGATGCATGCAGTTCTGAAGTTACTGTTTTAATTAAACGTGATTTACAATAGCATTCATTCTTCAAATTTGAAAGTGGGAGGAAATCTTTCAGGGAATTTTACATTAGTTGTGAATTCTGTGTTTTTATTGTAGTCGTATGACAGTAGCATTTAATTTTACTGAAATCTTGTGGGTTCTAAATTGTTCTTGAAGAGAAAATATATTCAAGTATAGTAATGATTTTAAATTTATGACTACATTGAAGTTAGCTGTTTCAAAATACACTTGTGTGATACATTAAAATGAGCATAGTTTCTAGCCTTTTTATAAAAGGTAAAAAGAACAGATGTTTCCTTCCTTTGTTGGTCCACCTGCATTGAAACTTCTTTGTTACACACTTACCTGTTTCCAGTTAAAATGGGCTTTGAGGTTTAGCTGTTACCTCTTAACATGAAAATGGACAGCATCAACAAGGTTTATTTGGGAAAGAAAGGAATAGGAAGCAAGGACTAATATTTCATCTTTATCTGCAAAATTTTCTCACTGGCCTGCATCCATAAAATTATTCACCAGGAATAAGAGCTTTGGCCCTCTGGTAAGCCAGGATTCCTGATAATGAAGAGGATCCTCACTCACTGAAGTCTGTTATTTGACACTGAGCTTTTGAGCCTGTTCTACTGCTTGAAAGCTCGGTAGGACATGAGACCTTTCCTCTCACTTGCAGCAGTGGGGAGAGGTTGGTTCTTTCTGTGCTGCTGACCATGCAAAAGCAGCACAAGGGATTGGCTTCAGCCTGCTCCAGAAGCCCAGCACCACAGAGACAAACACCCCTCTGTAAATCCTTTGGCATGTGTGCCAGGGAGGATCGATGGTGAGCACAAATGATGGCTTTCTCTGGAACTGAGCCAAGAATGTGTGAACCCTACAGATATTTCCAACAAAAGTGGGAAGCAGCTAGAGGAGATAGTATGCAAACATATTCTTTGGGTACAGTTAATGTGGTTTCCAAGCTGAAAAGGTTATTATATCCATTCCCTAAATTGAACAGCCTTATATTACTCAGTTGTGAGGATTTGATATGTGTCACAGCAGCAGAATCAGTGCCAAGGTTGAACTCTTGCTTTTTTCTAGATTGTTGCTACACTGAAACTTTTCTATAGTGTTCTCTCTTTCCCTCTTTTTTCTTTCTTTCTTGCTTTAGCTATTATATCACAGGATCGTGCACTGAACCTGCAGTAAGTCAGTTTTGTCCTTTCTCATTAAACTTGATTAAGCTATTAGTGCATGCTTGTAATCATAATGAACTGCTATTAAGAACCATAAATCAAATTAACTTTTAGAGCCTTAATTTTCTGCTTGATCTTACATAGGGGGCTTTAACTGCTGCAAGTTTTTGTTCTGCAACTGTGGGAGAGAAACTGTTGAGGCAATCCTGTGCACACTTACTCAGAAGCAAGACCCACTATATTCAATGGGACTTATTCTGCTCAAGTGGGCATACGATTGCGGCTTTAATAAGACGTTGTGACTTTAAAGTTGTAGTATAGTTGGACAAAGAAATGTGTGGTGGGTGATTTGGATGCTTGCCACAGACGGGGATATGGGACTCTTGTACTCCCATCAGCCCTAGCCAACATGGCCAGTGGAAAGAGATAATTGGAGTTGTAATCTAACATCTAGAGGTTTCCATGTCGGCTGCCCATAACCTAGAGACTGAAGCACTAAGAAGATAAAAAGCTCTAAACCAGCACTTCTCAAGTTATCTGATGTGATGGATCAGCTATTCCCTCCCCTAATGTGCTAAGAACTAGTAACATATTTGGTCCCTGAAATGCCCCACCCAACCTGGGCTGTGTGGAGTTGCCAGGGGCCAGCAACTGATGACTCACAGAACAGCACTGGTCCATGGACCACCACTTTACAATAATATTAATAATAATACAGTAATAAATTTATTATTTATACCCCATCCATCTGGCTGGGTTGCCTCAACCACTTTGAGTAGCATTGCTCTAAACCACTATGTGCCTGTACATATGGGAGCTCAAACGTGGTTTACATTAAACTATTGTTAGTGTGAGTCACAGTTGAGTGTCATGTCTTAATTGAGCTTCAAATGTAGAGTTTAAAGCTATACTGCAACTTGCTATTTTAGTCACCTTGGAAGTCATGTCAGAATAACCCAGTGATAGCCAAGGGATAGGTGCACTTGACAATCTCTGTCTTTCTTTCTGTCTGCCTGTCTCAACAACTAGATCCACACAGAATATGTAATAGCAAACCTCTGCTTAGGCCTGTAAATTTGGCTCCAAGTCTTTAAGGCTAGAAAAATATTTCATATATTTGGAGTTGGCCTAGGGGAAAAAATCCACAGTTGCTAGACAGCAGTATCAACCCTTTATGTATTGATCATGGTGCTTTCTTAGCTTTGTTGGCAAATCTGGAAACAGATACTATTTGACATTAGAACTGCACCCACATCCTCTGGCCACATAGTGCATATTATCAGTGTACATCTTGCACTTTCTATCTTTACTCCTATTTCTCACCAAAGTATTACTAACTGGAAGAGCACATTGAATGCAGACCAGGTTTCTTACTAGCTCTGCCATGTAAAAGATTATTCCCCTGTTTACTTTAATCTTTAATCTGAACCTTCTTTTGCATGAAAACATTCCTTTTTGGCACTTTGAAAGAATGGCACTGCTAGATGCTTGGTGAGATTAGAGAATTGTCCATGGACTGTAGTCAATAACTATTAGCTTAGGTAACTTTCCAAATTGCAACTAGTGACTTATGGTGCAGGTTAAAGAGAAACTTGCCTGGCGTTGTACACATTGGAAAACATAGGTTTATTTGCAATTTGTTGTACTGTATTAATTCATGTTTTGTATTTCATAGATTAATTGTGCTAATACTAAAATTTCTGAGTTTAGTTCACATGCAGTATTCTTTGTGGGATTTAACCCTGGTGTAAAATCTTTCTCCTTTTCCATCTATTTCTCTGTGACATAATAGGAGGATGTTTCATCCTTCCACTACCCTCAAGGAAGTAAGACTATGTGTGAAATCATTGTCGACTTAGTGCTATTTGAATTCTAATATGTAATCTTGTCCACTCAAATCTAGCTTCCATCTCAGTCTGCAGAAGGCAGTCATTCTAACCCACTGAGAGATGATGGAGTGGTCTCCCTTGCAGATGTGGGGTGGGTTGCTGAAGAAGAAAGTGAAGTCTTTACACGGCTCAGGTATGTTTTTTGAAGCTGCCCCTCTGTGGTTGATTCTTTAAGTCAACCTGTGTCAAGGGAAGCAGCAGTGTGTCAAACTGAACTAGATATCCTGTTCATTTGAATGCTGTCAAGTGTTGTTTTCACGCATAGAGAAACAGCAGAGTCACCTAGACAGCCACAAGTTTCAGCACCCATGGCACTTGGAAGATAGGGAATGAACAATGTAAAGGCAGGTGCTTCCAATGTTTAGATTATTGGGTGTAGGTTAGGACTCTGTAATGTGATGTAAACCCAAAGAACTGCCTCTGGGATGCACCAGTTTCATTTTGACAATATGAGAAGCAGAGAGTTGACATATTGGTGAAGTGGGGTTGGGAGGGCATTGGTTCCATTCTGCATTACTGAATGACGATCCTACAGTCCATAAAGCAAGAGATGACTGCAGAGAAAGCCACAGTATTGCCAGTGCTCTCTTCCATTCCTGCAGAAAGTGATATGCTGTTATGAAGTGTTTCACATTAAGTGTGACTATAGGTTAATGTGTATTCCTGTGTTGATAGTGGCACATGAAAATATTTTGGCTGCCATTATACATTAAATTTACGGAAAGATGAGAAAGGGGTGGCTGTGTCTTAATGAAAAAAATCAGATTTGGGGAATTCAATTTGAAGTGAGAACTAGCTAGTTGTGGCAGTCTTAATAGCCTATGCAGCCATTCATTCCCTGAACAAAGAAGTAGGGGGGGGGGACGACACCTCATGCCTTTAGAAGGTTTAGGCTGCATAAGATGCTGTGCACATGGAGTTCCAATCACACAACAGGACTTCCCCTTCCTCTCCCCCTCTTCTCCTCACCACTGCTCCCTTTAGCTTGCTTGATAATGGGTTTTTTTAAAAAGTACTACTGTATATTGTTTTGTTGATTACAGATCAGACGTTTGGTCAAAATCCCAAACATATCCTAGAGGTGAAGGCTGCTCAGGAAGAGATCCAAATATTCAAGTACCTTTGCCAAAGCCATTGCAAGAAAAAGAAGACTCCAAGATTGCTGTGGCCACAAATGATGAAGCTCTGCAGAAAATCAGTGTGCTAGAAAATGAACTTGCCAGTTTAAGAGCGCAAATAGCCAAAATCGTAAGCTTACAAGAACAGCAGAATATGACAGCAGGTATTTTAAAAAAAAATTATAACAAAGCTAATTTTATTATTTTTCTTTCAAATTGACTTTCTTTCCAATGGGTCTGATTATTCTTTGCATTAGAAGTGGTGACTTCCATAGTTGTGGTATCTCACTTCTTAACTCACCTTGACAGGAGAGAACTAGAAGTGGGTCATACTTTGCTGTTCCATCCACTGGACTATTCATGCCTTCGTAAACAATTGCAGAAACATAGGCTCAAGGTGATATTGAGTCATTGCTGTGTTATCTGACATTGTTGATTTTAAAGGTGCTGATTGGCAGTAGTTGAAAAAGCTTGTCTGATTACTATTCTGATGTCTAAAAACAACTTTATGAAAGCTTCAGTTAACACATTTTGGGTGTTGAATTATTCTTTAAACCATATTTCCAACTTATTCATCTCTGATTAGTGACTGCTAAACATGAATTGGAAGACTGCCAGTACTTCTTGGAAGAAGTATAAAGACATTAACTACTTGATTGCCTTGCATTCCCTTTCCTTTGTCTCATTTATCCCCTCTTAATAATCTACTTTTTCATAGCAGTCTGAACATGACAGCGGAGGGTATTGGAAGGACGAGAAGAACAACCTTGTTTCCTAGCTGGCAAGGTCTTTAGTGTTGCACGTTAAATTTTCTGAGACTGCTGCCAAAATCAACCCAGTATCTGCAGTTGTAAGCTCTAAAGCACTGCTGCACTGTTCAAATATGTTTGATTTGGTCATCATTTTATAAGATGGCTGGTGATGGCTTATTATTTATACATTTGTCATACTTCTAGCATTCTCTAGTGGCTTAAACAGAATCCACACCCATTGGGTAGAAATTTTAAAACTTGTTCAACACTAGTAAGCCTAACCAGAGAATGGGGTTCCAAGCCTTTTTGGCACCCTCTACTCTTCTTGCATTTCCTTCCTAGATAGATGTCTGTCCCTAACTGAAAAATACTACATTGCTTTGATGGGCTTTGTTTTTGAAATGATAATCATTATTTACTGAAGAATATTGTTGCATAATTAAATGGACTATTTTGTTACAGCTGGAGTAAGTTCTGCAGCATCAGTTCCTGTCCTAGCAGGAGTGCCAGCACCGCCCCCGCCGCCCCCACCCCTTCCACCTCCACCACCGCTCCAGCAGAGCACTTCTGCCATTGATCTTATTAAGGAGCGCAAAGGAAAAAGAGTAAACTCTGGACGGACTTTTATAGATGATGATTCGAAGAAGCCTGAAATACCAAACATGCTAGATATTCTCAAAGATATGAACAATGTAAAGCTGCGATCTGTGAAAAGGTGAATCTACTACAGCTCTCTGTTCAGGAAGGTTGGGGGGGATGGGACTTTCAGTGAGGAAACCTAACAATGAATGGTTCCTTAGGTTACATACAGAAGTAAGTAGCCATTCATTTGCTTAATCAAGGTAACACATACCCCACTGCAGCCCCCTCTTGCACCATCATGCACGCTTTCGGATTAGGAGGAACATCACATCCCTCTTTAGGTAAAGTTAGCAGCTCAGGGCCAGGAGATGTGCTGTATCAGATAAGAGGCTGGAAGATGTGTTGTTGCACTTGTAGCTGGTAGTACCAACCCTTCCGGGTTGGGGGGTGGAGAGAGAGAGAGAGGAAGCCAGTCTTTTTGCAGGCATTTGAAGTGTCTACAACTCAACGGTTTTGATCTATTCTTTTGAAGACCAGAGGAGAGCACCAAACGAAAAGCAGCCGACCCAACAGATCCTGCCGCACTAATAGCTGAAGCTCTTAAAAAGAAATTTGCTTATCGATATCGAAGTGACAGCCCAAGTGAAACTGAGAAACAGGCTCCTGAATCTGACACAAGGCTGGTAAGTACTGCATCCAATTTATGATTCACTGAAGTCTAGTGACTAGGATTTTAATCCTCCCTCCCAGTTCTCCCTTGACCTTTAAAACTGTAGTTGTAGCCAACTGCATATATCTTAAGGATCATGCACTGGAAGTTGACCCGGCTTGCCACTGGAATGTGTAGAAGTCTCTCTGCCCCCATGCACACAATTTCTGAGAGCTTTTCTGACTTGGACTCCCTCTGACATGCTCCAGCCAGCTGCTGGAGGAGCTGGCCTGTGTAGCTGTGAAACCCTTCTCACATGTGGAGTGTAGGATTATAAAATGGGTCTGTCTACAGAAAATGCAATGGGGAGCATGAAGATGCAGGCTGCTAGTCTGTCTTATTTTTTACTGAACAGACTGGTGAAGTTAGCATGATGTCATTTGTCTGTCCCTCCATTAGCCTACTTGTTCACTTGCATGTAATTCCTTGCTACATATGAACTAGGAAAGTTGTTAAATACTATAGGGAAACCTTATTGTTAAGCCCATAAAAGTTACTAGCCTGCCCAAAAAGCCTAATCCTGCTTTTTTTTCTCTCCTAAAAGGAGCCCCTCTTTTACCACTTTGCTACAAATTTCTATAATTTTTACTATTTATTAAATTTGTATATTGCCCTATACCCATAGGTCTCAGGGTAGTTCACAGGATCAGGCTAGCAGTGCAGAAGGCTGGCAAAGGGGAAACAAAGCACTCTCCTCCTTTGCCAGTCTGCCTTGCTACCACAGTAGCTGCAGAGAAGGGGTCTCACTGTGTCTTAAAACCTGCTCATCCTTAGCAAAATTCACATACCCATGTGCAGACTCTTGATCCCCAATGGCAACCAGAAAAATAGTTAAATACAAGCCTTCTATAGAGCAGCTGCAATATAGTGCTAGATTACTGAGGGCAAGGTGAGCAGGAAGCTTCTTTTCTAGTCTCAGAACAACACTTGCACTGGGGAGAGTGGATTTCCCAGCTACAAAGGCCCCCTAATATGTTCTATTGTAACAGTCAGCTATCACCAATAACTGGGCTAACTTACACAGTTTGTCCCATTGCTAGTTGGTCTTTAGGCAGAATGGCATCAGAGGGTATGTTGCAACTATTGTTCATTATTTCAGTTGGTGGTCAAGAACAAGTATGTAATGAAATAACTGGTCACTGTACTAGAGGTACACAGAATTTAAGGGGGTTTGGAAGACAAGACGGACATGATGGTGAAGCCTAATTCAAACTAGAGAGCTTCTTGCCAAACAAAGGTTTACTTGTACTTCAAGAATGTTGAACACAGGGTTGGCTCCATTTAGTGCCCTGGTCCTAACAGAAGTGTTTTTGATGCTGCAGGTGCCTCTAACAGAAGATGAGGCCCTTTTTGCCAAATCGCTTTTCCCCTAGCACCTGCACGAGATTGGCCCCAGAGAGTAGAGGGGCCTTGTGGAGTAGCAGGGAAGGTGTAGGAAGAAAGAGGATTTGTCAAAAACTTACCCACATCAAGCTCTTCTGTCAGCAAATGCGTCTGCTGCATCAAATGCCCTTATAAAAGTGCAAGACCACTAACTGAATTCCACTCTTTTATTTATTTGACGAGATTTATATACCACTGAATCAACAAAAACCTCTAAACAGTTTATGTAAAGCATGAACTAAAAATCAAATGTTAAACATTCATATAAATAAAATCAGCAGTTTTAAAACAAATGTAAATATTTATAAACCCTATTTGGTTTTTAAGCTCCATTATTTCACTTCTGGGTTTGCTTCTTAAATTTCTCAGTTTTAAAATTGATCAGGAAAAACCACAAGTAGAAGAAATGTGTAAGAATGACTTCTGAGTACATGCTAGCAGTAGCCTGTAGCCTTGGTGTATGAACTTACTCCCAGTATATGCAAATCCTTGTGCTTACTCTCATTCTCTTTTTATAGTTTGGGCCACACATGCTGAAGCCTACAGGAAAAATGAAGAATCTAATTGAAAACTCTTAAGCAGGGGAAAAAATTACCTCACTACAAAAGGACTTTTTACAACTACTTCTGCCTTTTTGAGAAACAAGTGTTTTGTTTTTTTTAAAAAAAATCAGGGGGCTGAGTAATAGGTTTAAGAATATAAATATTGTATTGTGGTAACACAGCTTTTTAGTACAGAAATGTCAATGTGGTATTAGAGTATTAATAGACAATATAAGAATGACTGACACTCTTAAACACCATGTGTACAATAATTAACTTTAAGTTATTATAGTTCCAGTGCAATAACTGGTATAATGTAAGGGTAATTTTTAATGACTTATTTTTAGTTTGTTACACATTAATTTTGAACTATGTTCTGCATTTAGAAATCTCATGCTGTGTTTTCAGCTTCTTTAAATGAAGCACTCAGACTTTACTAAAGCTACTCTACCTCTCAAACACTAACCTTGAAGGAGGCATGGCTTTAAAAAGCTTATTTATTCTCCAGCAATACAAACTTCAAAATTTAGTAATTATCTTTCAATAAAGCAACTCATTTTTGCTTCAAAACACATGTTACATTGCAGCATATTTATAGGCAATAAATTAGCCAAAATTTGGACTATATTTTTGTACAGGACTAAACATTACAACTGCAATAGAAGTAATGCTGCATATTCTGTATTAGGAAACCAGAGCAGAATATATAATATACCAATGGAAGGATAAGCAGGGCTTCTTCACCTCAGACCTTAAACTGTCAGGTTACAGAGCCTGGGTTATATTTTTCTTAGTTGTTCTCTTATGATCATTCTTGTCGACAGCTGCAGTATTTGTCCCAGCAACTTGACTGGTACCAAGTCCAGTCAGTTCAGTAGGAGTTTGCACTTTTACAGGGAACAAGCAACTGAAGCTGTAGAGCATGACCCATCCTGGCTAGGTTTTTTGGGTGGGGGAACCAACAAACTGAAAAGTTGTATTTGGAAAAGGGTACGGTGTAGCTCTGTTTTTGGGCTGCATACAATTTCATTTCTAGAAATAGAAGGCAATTATTTTGTGAATGCTTGTTACTTAGATTACAATAGCAAGATCCAACATTGCAACAGCAGATACAGTGAGACTTCACCTCCTCCCCCTGTAGCCCATCAATGTGCTCCAACCCTCAACAGCATGTTTGAGGGGAGTGAAATGGCAGAACTGTTTTCATGTGCAAGTCCACTGACACCCCATGTGGTCAAACAATTATCACTGTTTTTCTATGAAGAGCTAATTTAATCTAGGTGGTATAGTGTCCCTGAAATGTTTGAAAACTTTCATTTTTAAGTTTTTAAATTTAGAACTTTGTTTTACGGATTATTTTTTATCTGATCTGTAGAATGCTGCAAGATGCCTTATCGCCAACTGTTGTTTTTCCATGCTCGTGTGCATTTAGCCCTGTACCACCAATGTAAAAAGTTAAAATCAGAAAGATACTTACTGGCTCTTTATTTCATTTTTTGTACATCACATAGCTCAGTCGGTAAAGCATGAGACTCTTATTCTCAAGTTTGTGCGTTCAGGTTCCACGTTAGGCAAAAGATTCCTCCATTGCAAAGGGTTGAATTACATGACCATTGTGGTCCCTTCCCACTACAGTTCTATGACCCTATGACTAATGTATGCAGGCATTAGTTCAGTGTTGAGGCAGCTGCTACAAGTACACTGGGAATAGGATCTGGAAAGATCTGATCCATTAAGGGCGTACATAGCAGAAAAAATCCCACTGGCCTGGGAGGAAAACTCTATTGAGGCACAAATTCATAATAGAATTAGATAACAAGTACTATAAAGCTCTTTTCAGGTAGTTCTGGAAAAATCCCTAGACCTGAATTGCCCAGCAACATTTATATAGTGCTGCTACTGAGTTTTCAAACAACTTCACGTGCATTATCGAATTACAGTGGTACCTCGGGTTAAGTACTTAATTCGTTCCGGAGGTCTGTTCTTAACCTGAAACTGTTCTTAACCTGAAGCACCACTTTAGCTAATGGGGCCTTCTGCTGCCGCCCCCGCCCCCCCCACCGGAGCACAATTTCTGTTCTTATCCTGAAGCACTGTTTCTGGGTTAACAGAGTCTGTAACCTGAAGCGTATGCTGAAGCGTATGTAACCCGAGGTACCAGTGTATAATCCTTACAACAAACCTGTAAGGCAAGTATTATTCCCCATATGGGAATGTCGAGACAGAAGGACTTGCTTAAGCCCAGGAAGAGTGAGATTCAAATCAGGAGTGTTGCTAGGAGACAATCCCATCATCCCTTGTGGCACAGGCTAGTGGGAGTCTATCATCTTCAGGAGGGTCACAGGTTCCACATCGTGTTTGTAGAGGTAATAAGAGTACATGTAACTGTGACATTTGGTGATAGGTGGCTGTTCAGTAAGTTTTAAACATTTTTTAAAACTGTTAAATCCAGATTTTTATTGTATACATATTTTTAGGATACATTTTCTTACGTCAGTCAAGGAAGGCTGTAATCCTGTACCTATGTATTTAGGAATAATATCAGACATAGGCTGCAATCTTGTATATAAGAAAATGTATCCTAAAAATATTTAAATGCCTTAAAAAATGGGTGCAGAACCAGAATGTACAGCTTTGAATTCCTCAAAATAGCATGCATTGTGCTAATTGGTTATTAGTTATAGAAGTTTGAAGTCACACCACCATGTTTCTCTATGGCGCTTGGACCAAACCTAGTCCCTGATCATCTGTTTCTATAAGTGACTTCATGTTGACAAACGATATTTGCTTAAAACAATGTAAAGCATAGCTTACAATTGGTTGAACATTTTCAGTTGCTATATTTTAGTTATAAGCTATTGACTTATTTGTATTCTCAAAGTTTTTTATCAATTAATAAATACATAAAATATACACACCTATATCCAAGACTGCCAAGTAGCAGCAATTTGTGTTCATGTTGGGTACTCTTTCATATATTTGACAACTTGAAATATTCCTTCTAGTGGTGCCTACAGACTGCATATAAATTTATTTTAAAAAGCATCCATACTGGACTTTATTCTCTTTGTTTCCGTTCTTATTTCTCCCTCACTTTATTTTCAGATAAACAATGTATTCCAGTATTTTTTCAAAGTAGACAGTACAACCCAGTTAAATGCGCTCCAAAATTTAGCGCACCAGCTAAGAAAACAAAGCGTAGATATAAACGTTTTTTAAGCATTGATGAGTGCTCTAAGGTGTACTGAATTTGTTCTTCAAATTACTCAAATGTATCATACAAGGCTAGTCTTTCATTAATGCAGTTACCTTAGCAATTGTTTTTATCAAAAGGGATACAACAGAATAGCAACACTAGGGATAGGGCAGGATGTATAATAATTAGATGCAACTCCTAAGATCTGGAGAACTTTTGGCCCTCCAGATGTTGCTGAGCTACAAGTCCCATCAGCCCCAGTAAGCACATCCAATGGACAGGAATGATGGAAGTTGCAGTTCAGCAACTTCTGGAAGGTGAAAAGTTCTCCAAACCTGTCGTAACTGCATGTGAAGTGACTGCATGGAGCCTAAGCAGAAAGTCCTCTCAGTATACCAACCTTTGCTGCCTCTTAAAATATGCGCCCAATGGAACAGGGATTTGTGGGAAAGCTTGAATTGTTGATGGTAAATAGCCCACTGCTTTTTATGTTGGTTTGGTTACGATTTCTATCTAAATTAGCTTAGCACTTAAGGATTTGTCTAAAGCAGCGATGGCCAAACTTGGTCCTCCAGCTGTTTTGGGACTACAACTCCCATCATCCCTAACTAACAGGACTAGTGGTCAGAGATGATGGGAACTGTAGTCCCAAAACAGCTGGAGGGCCAAGTTTGGCCATCACTGGTCTAAAGCAATCCTCTCAGTTTCCCAAACATATTCCCAATGCTAAGATACAGTATAAGGAGAGGGTAAAATTGAGAATGTTACCTGTAGCAGAATAAACTTGGATTATGCACATGATGACTCAGGTAACGATCAAGCCACCTAGAGTTTAGAACCTGTCACTAAGGAGGTGTCTTAGCATACTAACAAGTGGCAGAAATAGTAAAAATATAAGTCAAGCATGAACCTGCTATTGCATGTGCCACATAATATGCATATCTTATGGTGAGATGCATTAGTTTATACATCTGTCTCTCACAACATACAAAAAAAGTGCTGGTTTCCTTGCAAGGACAGCTTTGCATGTCTGTCTCACATTATCACAGGTAAGTAGCCCTACATTGATTTAAAGGGACAGCAGGCTACATAGGCATGTTGCCTCCAGTACATAACAATTACAGAAATTCACACACATCAGGAAAAAAATGACTGGAAATTTAAATCCATATTTAAAAGCTACTGATACTTTGTCTCAAAACTCTACTCTTGCATTATTGCAAATTGCAATAAGCTTTCCCTACTGTTGAAGATTTCTCCAGAATTGCCTGAAACCTTAAAATGATTATACAGATGGATATTGAGAACATTTAGAGAGGCAGAAATTACTTCTCAACGGTTAATTCAAAATAAATGTGGACTTGAATTGTGGCTCATTCAGAGATGATATGCAACAGTTCAGCAACTGGAAGATTCAGCCAAATGCTGCTTTTCATTTACTGCAGTTCAGACCATAAGGATTTGGGTCAGTTCTTCTGCAGGGATATGTAATATAGTCAGGTTCAAAACACAGAACAAGGGCATTTTTTGAAGTTCTACCTCCTAATCCCAAGACAATATCTCCATTGAAATGCAGTTTCTCTCAGGAGTCACTGGCCCAATGCCACAAAGAATGGCAGAAGCTGAAGACAGCTTTTAATTTTAAAAAAGTACCTAGTCCTCTTAGAAAGCTATGGAGCAAAATTTGCAAGTACCTTTTAAAGGGATTTTGGGGAAATGCACCAGTGGCTGCCCCCCGTCCCCCGTCAGTGTTTCTGGCCAATGAGTGAAGTTACAGCTAGATTTGTCTGACATCTGTTACTGTCTATAAGTTATGTTCTATGCAATAGATGTGGGTGGGTGGGTGCTACGTAATCCCCATCCCCTCAAAAGGCAAATATAAAAACTTTGCAAAGGGGCTTAGGCTTATCTTCTGCTGTGCAGGAGCTAAAGATCAGGCCGTTATTAAGAATTTACCACATAGTTAACCCATTTAAGGTCTATTCTGATAGTCTCTGCGTTTAATGGGGCTTACTCTCAGGTAAGCTGGCACAGGATGGCAGCCTTGGCATTGGGAAAAACCAGGGTTCTTGTGCCTTTAACATCTGCATGGCAGGCAGAAATTAAACGTATGGAAATAGCATGGAGAAAGCTTCACTATGACATTAAGGTAAAGGTAAATGACTCCTGGATGGTTAAGTCCAGTCAAAGGCAACTGGGGTGCGGCACTCATCTTGCTTCAGGCCAAGGGAACTGGCATTTGTCCACAGACAACTTTCTAGGTCGTGTGGTCAGCATGACTAAACCACTTCTGGCACAACAGAACACCATGATGGAAGCCAGATCATATGGAAACGCCGTTTTCCTTTCTGCCGCAGCAGTACCTATTTATCTACTTGCACTGGTATGCTTTTGAACTGCTAGGTTCAAAACCGCTAGGCACTCTTAATTTTGTGGTATGCCCCACCACCCAGCAGCCATTTTGTGATTGGTGCTGTCAGCACTCAAAATTTGAAATGTTTGCACTTGTCTAAAAAGGTTGGTGGTCTATCTGAATCCAAGAAATTGGATTGTAACTAAACTGAAGAAAAATAGGAAGTGTAATTGACAGTGCAATCCTATATATTTTTACTCAAAAGTCAGCCCCTTTGGGTTCAATGTGGCTTACTTTCAGGTAAGCAGGTATAGGATTACAACCTAAAAGACTTGTTTCCTTCCTATGCCTTCCCAATTTTATGATCAAAGTAAGTTTGAAACACTGTAATGACCTGTTTAAACAAGTCTCAAAGGAGCTACAAAGGGGGAATATGTGATTAAGGTGGTTTCAGCTACTTTTCTAAGGCTGGACTCAGGAGATAATGTGAAAAGTTTTTTATTATTAATCAAAAGTTAACAGCAACAGGCACATTAAAATGAGTATGGCAAAGCCTTTTACAAATGGCTTTACACTGAAGCTCTCTCCCAAAAATGGCTGTTGCAAACTGTAAACAGAATGGAATAAACAGTCTTTACAGTAACAAGGGAAATACAAATGAACAAAAAGAAAGCACCAATTCCTCAAAATAGATTACAGTTGTGCTTACAGTACTTAAAACAATGTAAAAAACAAATTACAAAAAAGGAATGCTTGAAGATTAAAAATTAGTCCTTAAAATTTGTCCTTAAAAACATTTTCTCCTTTTCACATCAAAAAACCCCATAATGGGGAGCATTTCAGTAGAGGGAGGAATAAGTAAACAATGCACTTTTTCAATCAACAACAAAATTTGGTCACTTAGCTTTGTGCATAGTTTAAGGCAGCTGTAGCAACCTGTTCCTTTCCCCCCTGTGGCTGCTCATGAAAATGTCACATTCTAAAAAGAATAAATAAAAAAACATTGCCTTTCAAATCCTTCCTAT